CTCATCAGACTGATGCAGGTGGTGATGTAGGGGCCGAAACTATTGAAAACGGTTGGTGATTGATCACCCGACACTTGAAGGAATCTCGATGGGCTTGGACGGCCACAATGGGACGATTCTGGGTGAGGGCTCTGGTTCCCTTTCCTCGTGCCAGAGCGGAGCTTTTCCAGCGCGGAACCACTGGGCTGGGGGAAGCCTGCCACGGCCGCGGGGCGGGCTTTGACACGGGATTGGCCACCACACGAACGTGATCTGTGTTCGGCGAGGTTTGATCTGAAGGTCGACCAGACCCTCGGATTCCGCACCGCGTGGGAGCGTGGGAGCGTGCTGCGTGCAGCGTGCACAGCGGCGGTGGTAGTCGAAGCTGCCCCACGCGCTGTCAAGACGTTGTGAACTGGTCAAACGAGGACAGGCGCCTTCTGTCGACGGGTCGTGACAGGCTGTGGCAGGCGCTGACAGCGACAGGGCGTGCAACAGGCGCAGGCCGTCCAGGATCATGCTGCGTGCGAGCCTGCAGCGTGCAGATTGGAGATTGCAGACGGAGCCGACGCAGTCTGTCCGACTCGCTGGAGAGATTGGGGGACCAGGGTGCCAGGGAACCCAACCTCTTGAGTGTGGGTGGGCGATCCGGTGCGACTTGCCAGGGGTAGTGCAAAAGCGGGGGCTTTGATTGAGCCTTTGTTGATGGCGTGTGATTGGGGATGAGGATCCTGAGCCGTGCGACGAGGCGAGGAGGTCTCACTCAGGCACCCCACCGGCGTGAGCCCGTAAAACCCAGCTCTTCCCGTTGCTGATCCGACGGCCTGGACGGGTGGCCTTGCATTCCAGAACAGGGCATGATGACGTTGGTCTTGTTCGCTGGGCATGGAAGAGGTGTGTACTGTATGTGCGTGTGGTGTGTTGTGTGTGCCCGAGTGTCTGTGTGCACGTATGTACGTATGTACCCAGGTATGTATGTACGTATGTACGTATGCGCGTAGGCACGCACGCATGTATCGTAGCTTCGGAAGGCATGGATGGATGTATGTATTGGTGCCTGTTCCAGGTGTCCGGTCTGCAGGTGGATCGTAGGATCGCAGGTCCGTATCAAGGATGGAACTCCAGAACCAAATGAATTGCTGGCGGGCAGGCGGGCTGGCAGGCAGTGGATGGGCGGATGGATGGCCTGTGGCCCAGGCACTTCTCTGGAACCCGGCCACAACTCGCCCGGGTCCAGACGCCGGGCGTGCATGTGGGCTGCGGTCCGCGGACGAAAGAAAAGATGGGGATTTGGCATGGGGATGCGGATGGGTACGGGGATGGGGGAGGGTACTGCCACCGATTGGGGGAGAGCACTGGCTCCTGGTCCAGGTCCAGCCTTAGAGCCGAGGCCCAGAGGGCAGACGCGGCACAGGCGAGGAGCAGGATCGATGAGCCGGAAGATTACTTCCAAATCGGTGATTTGATTGTGATTTGAGATGAGCGAGCCTGCAGTGAGTGCATGCAGCGCAATATTTGTTTGTGCCCAGAAGATTACGGGAGAGAGAGGAGCGAGGAGCGAGGAGCGAGAGGATGTATGAAGAAATGGTTGACTGAATGAATTGCTCGCAGAACAGTGGGCGGGCGTCGAGACGCGCTTGCAAGCAGTCCGCCTGCCCGTCGTCAAGTGCAAAACGGTGTGGTTGTGATTTGAGGCCAGGGGAGCACTGACTGACCTTGGTTGCTGTCTCGTGCCTAGTGATGGCCGACTCGTATCAAATCTCCCTGGGTCCGAGTCTCTCTAGGTCTCGACCGCTGCAGCCGCATTCGCTTCGGTTGGGTCGTGGTGTGCCTCTAGGGCTCACTGAGCTTCCCTGGACGGCGACGGCCTGGTCGGTCGTGCTGCTGCTAGGGAAAGGCGCCGATCGGTGGTTTCGTTTGTCCTCTTTCCTTTTCGGTGCTGGTGTGCTTTCCGGGCTGTTGCAGCTGTCCAGGGACGGGGCTTGGTTTTTCTTTCTCTCGGCTGGGTCCGCAAAACAGTGGCTAACCTAGGTCGGTCCAAGATGGCAGGTCTGGGTAGGCGACGATGCTTGCTTGCTCGCCTGGTTGTGTGTGATTGCTTTGCTGTGGGTGCAGGTGGGCTGAAAAGGACGAAGTGTCTCCGAAATGGGAAAGGTCGAAAACTTTGCTGGGAAGAGTGTGTTAGGCACGACGACCATTCTTTCATTCATTTACTCATTCATTCCCATTCACTCACTCAATCGCCCAAGAGCCCGTTCAATCATCCACTCACCTTGAGGGCAGGTACTTCGTCAGGAGACGGACGGCAGGTGCAGTCGACGGCGCTGGGTAGTGACTTCAGCACAGATGGGGGCAGGCTCTCAACTGTCGCAACGGGAAAGGTCGGAAGCTGAAAACGGAAAGGCGGGCAGTTTCCTGAAGAAGACCGCCAAGTGCCCAACCACCGCTAATGATTGGCCGGCTTCTCCTGGCCCGGTCCCTGCCACCTGTTACTAGCGCGCTGCACTAATTGAACGATCCCCTCTTGCAGGCGGAGATGGCCATTTCATTTCCATCGCCATGAATCTGCGCAGTCTGTCCCCCTCGGGAGTTCGGGTCGCTGGCCATGGCGTGTGATAAGTTGGGTGATTGTGGCCTTGGCAATTCACAACGGTGGAGGCGGCATCGATGAGTGCATGGAGATGCTCGTGGGATGCATTTGATCTGTTGATCTTGGGCTCTGGCCCTGCGAGAGGAGATCTGATCGGCCTCCGTGCTACCAATGATTCTACTGTGTACAAGACACTCGCTCATTTGGCCACAGCACAGAAGGTCACGGACGGCTTCTCTTGCCGTCCAGGGTTCCCTCTATCCTGCCAGTAACCTTGGAACCGACGGGTGTCAGCATCCAAAAGACACCGGCCAGATGCCGCCAAGAAGCCCGAGTTGCACATCCTGCCAGGCAGTCCTTTGCCATCCGGCATAATAGACTCTGCCAGTACTGCGCAGACAGACTTTGTGTGTTAATCATGTCTGCCGATGTCTGCCGACGCTAGCAGGACGCTGGAAGGGCATACCCAACGTCGAGCGAGCGGATATTACGGGCTACCTCGCTGCGGGCAAGAGAGCGAGGCTATATTGGCCCCTTTTGGACGCGTCGTCTCGTCTCGTCCCTGGGTCGCTTTGAGGCAAGGCTGTGACTTCATGAATCATCCCAAGGTCCCTCAAAGGGGTGAGTTTACGCGGAAGCCGCCCTCATCCTCAGCCCATCTTTGCCCCTCGGTGGCCATTACAGTACTCCGGTTTCGAGGCCATCTCAACTCGCCGGGCGCGCCAGCGAGCTGAGTCGTTCGGACGTGCGCCCGTCGGTGTCGTTGAGGCGGCTGGCCCAGAATAGACTGGCCTCTAAAGCCGTGGGGGTCGTCCAGAGCGCCCTGCCCGGAAACAGTTAATGACAGCGGGTGCGGCGACGGGTGCGGCGGACGGGTGCGTGTGAGCTTGTGGCAGACAGTACCAGTAGGGGGCGAGGAGGGAGGTGGGTAGGATTGGGGATTGGGCTGACCGCTGCCATTCCTGTTCCTGTATTAAGCTCGGGTCACCATGACCGAAGAGGCAAGCAGAGAGGGTTGAAATGCGGGTAATCTACGATGAATCGAGAACAGGCCCATTCTGGGACGCAAACACGGGCGATCTTGACCTGTTTCTGAAGGGCAAGGCTGAGGGAGAGTCATGCCCGAATGGGTCACGGCCCAGAAGTGGAAAGGTTGACAGCTGCAAGCAATTCGGCCATGGTCCGCTCTAGCCCTCCAGACCTCCTGGGGTGCTTGGGCGGCCTATGGGGCGCCTAGGGGTGGTTGGCGTTCGCTCTCGCTGCACCACCCGCTGCACCGTCTGCCCAGGTGCTCCACACCAAGGAACTGGGCCCCCGTCATGTCTGCATGTGATGGGGGGTGGTGAGGGGATGTGGGCACCCAGGCAGCCAGAGAGCACCAGAGCACCAAGGCCAGAGCGCCAGGGCCGGAACAACCAGGGCTAGAGCACCAAGACCAGAACACCCAGGACAACCTCGATTCCAAAACAGACACGCACAGGGACATACGTAATCAGACGGCCCTCCAGGTCTTGGGTTCTGAGCTCTGCAAGCCCTCCCACTGCTCTTGTCCAAACCCGGACGGTCCCAAGTTTAGATTTCATCGAATGATTCCTGGAGATCACCCGTCCCTGATTGGGCTCGTTTCCAAGCATCTCCCAGCGCCGCCTGCGCGGCTGCGGCCGTGGGGTGGCAGCATGTGGCCCCTGCACGCTTCATCCCAAACCACTCCAGGCGCCTCACGGCAACGCTGAAACCGCAACTGCCTCACGACGCGGATCACCACCATGCCTAGTCTCACGGCCGCCGACCGCAGCACAAACCTCGAACACGCCGCAGCAGCGCCCGTCTCGAGACTGTGGGCCGGTTGCAAGCCCGTTCTGCGTGCACGAATTGAATGGTGGCGTGCGTAGCGTGCTGGTGTGGGCAGAGTCCCCTGGCCAGGTAGCGTTTCCGCTGCGTTTCTGCTCGTCTTTCTGGTAGTGACGAGTGTCTCTGCCCCCTTTTTCTTCTTCGTCCCTTCAAAGTCTGTTTTGGCTTCGTTCGATTCAAAGCGCTTGCATTGCTGTTCCCAAGGGGCCGGTCTCCCGTTGGTTCGATTCGTCTTCGCCTGACGCCACGTCGTCTGTGCAAATCTTCCCTCTTTCTCTCCCTGTTGTATACTTTTAGTAATTGGGCATATTCCCTTCCATCATACCTTCTTTTTCGTATTTCGCCACCGGTGGGAGGAAGCGCAGGACGATTATACCGCCGAGCATTCTTTTCACGGCGACGATCACTTCACGATAACGATTCCGACACTAGACGCAGGTCGTCATCTTTTGGAGCAGAGGAAAACCACCACAGAAAGAGCCAGGAACACCGACAGTACGGATTGGTTTGGTAGCGGTTGAAGGGCGGCCGACTATCCCGTTGACCCAGGCTGCTCAACGCAACAACATCGACGACAAAGATGGTCAACAAAGTCCTCGGCGCCTATGTGGCTGCCGACTTTCTATTCGTCGCCACCGGTGCCATCCTCGTCGGCTTCTCGGTCATTGTCCAGAACTTCATGTTCGAGACACCGACTGAAGGCGGGCAGGCCGTCAGGAACCTCCTGTACCAGGAGTTCCCGTTAACAGGTACGCTCTTGCTCCCACCGAGGAAGGGGAGGACAGGACGGTGTGACTGTGCAGACAGTCACTCGGGAGACAAATGCAGGAACTTCGGAAAGGCAAGGGCTTCACAGCTAACGTTCCGCAGCTGGCATCGTGAATGGCGTGTTAGTGTTCGTCACATTTGCGTTTACGCTGCCTGCTATTGCCATGCCCACCCGCGGCTGGCTAAAGCTCTCGGGATATATGCTCGTTGTCAACGCTGTCTTCTCGGTCATTCTGGGACTGTACCTATGGATTCTCACGCTACGGACGAAAGAAACGTTATCCCCATTGTGGAACGCACAGGCACCCCGCGTCCAGGACTTGATGCAAACAACTGTACGGGAAACCCTCCCTTGTACAATGGTACGCCGTTGAGCAGTCCAGTTGACTAACGTGTGGCATAGTTCGCGTGCTGTGGCTTCTTCAACAGCACCTCACCCGCATTCGTCACCGACCCGACGTGTCCGTCCCCCGCGGCCGCTTCCCTGATGAGGGGCTGCGCTGGCCCGCTGAGCAGTTTCGCCAACGTCTTCATCGACAACATCTTCACGGCCGTGTTCGGTATGGCCGGTATCGACGGCGTGCTCATCCTGGCTACGGCCTGCCTGCTCAAGGACCGCAAGGAGCGCGAGCGATTCCGATATATTGACTCCAAGACCCAGTCCTCGACCTTCTAAGCCTGGGGTTTGAGTGAGCAACGGCATGTTCGGCGGTGGGGAATGGAACGTTGAACGAGGAGGCTTGGACCCGCACGAGCCCCACGTGGCAGAGCATCTGGGTCTCCGTCGAGTAATGCGAAGGCAACGTCCCGAGGGTGTTGTAACGATGGGGGATGCAGGGGACGAGGGGTTGGGTGGGTTGATGCTGTAATACTCGAGACGACGTCTGCCTGTCCACACAAGCACGCACACGACGTCCCGGGATTCTGAGATCCCATCCAGTGGGGCACGGCACGGCACGGTCTCAAGAGAGATGACGGAACACGATGTACGAATCTACTTGTGGTCTTTCAGGGCTGGTTCCAAAACATATGTCCTCATGGGCGTCAATTATCTCCTTTTCCCGCATCATTTTTCCATGTACATCCGTTTTAGTTATGCTGCTCGCCACCCGTCATACGTGTGCTTATGTATGTGGGTGTGCGCTGAGCGCGTCTTGTGATAGCGTTAGATACGGACATCTCATAGATTGTTTCTTCCTATGTCTGGCGATTTTAGGTGAGTCGAACTTGCTTGATTATTGCCTGTTCATTACGTGTCAAGACAACCTCGTATGAGACGGGTGTCGGCCTTGGATTTGAGTTTGCCTACTGACGGGGTCCGGTCGTCGCTACTGCTTCCTGTCACCTCATTCCCACTTGGCACGGCTGTTACACCAGCAATGCGTGACCTCCAACCCCTAAATGCTTTCAGCAAGCGGGCTTGCCGACACTACCCTACCTTGGACCTTCTAATACGAGAGAATCACACCAGCCTGAGGAGTTGGTCCCACATTCGGCGGCAAAGGACCGAGTTGTCCAACTTGTCAGTATTGCCGGGCTCTTCGCTGCCGAACATTCACTCACGTAGAGAGGAACCTAATCAGAACCCGATATCCGCGCACTCGGTTGAAAAGTAGGCCCTTTCCCCGTGTAGTCGTGGATCCTACGTGGGGATGGAGGCAAAGTGTGTGTTCCCGTAGTTGGCGACTCTCCAACGGACGTAATTGTTCGGAGGTGAGTCGGCCGAGGTGATATCGGCCCGCAATTTTACGACAATGCGACGGTTGCGCTGCCCTGCTGGTGCCCTGCTGGTGCCCACATGACCCTAGGACTATAGTTATCTCATAGGTGGTATAGACGTCCTCCTTGCAAGCGGCGCCAGGAACTAAACTATGCGATCATCAAAATGCAACAACACGGTTACTTTTCCCCTGGTACAAAACGTCAACGAGTAGTCTTTTATAGGCGGAAGAGATGCCCAGCGCACACTGACAGTTGCTTGATGCTCCACGATGTCCAAATTGTCTCTGATGCAAAGGTGATAACTCCCTATTTGTAGTTTGTATGTATAAAAAGAAAGGTGCCGAGCATTCCGATCTCTTGGAATTTCTTTTCCTGTCCCAAGTGTCCTGGCCGCCGTCTTTACACTGATCAGAGCTTTTGTACCACCAGTCACTATCTGCACTGGAGCTTATATACTGCTCTATTTGGCAGCTGCATCAGTCGTTCCCGTCCATACTTCTCTTTCGGGAACTACTTCTCCACCGGCCCTACTGCGTCTGGCACATTCATCACTGAGGCGACCACTACGCTTGTCTTACCGGCTTCCAACAGCCCTCACAATGGAAACTTAGGTCTCTGGCCTGGCATGGGAATGGAATGATGGTGACCTTGTCCAAGGCCTTGCCATCTCGACCGTTGGCGTCGGGTAGGTTTCGTCCGATATATGAGTACGATGGACCCGACCGAGCTCAGAATATTCACATACAGGTCTCCTTGCAACCTGGTCACGAGCGAGGTTAAGTGTTGTATCACTGCCAGCACGCTTGAAAGCCTGTTCGTCCGATATCCTAGGGTGCTTCCCATGCTCCCCTGTGTCTAGACAATCAAGAGGACGGCGCAGTCTACAAGGCGAACCCAGGTGACAAGGTCACATACAACTGTAAGTTAAAGGCCCCGATCTCACAGAATTTGATTTCAGGTCTGACTGGTCCACAGACAAATATAACCCCTCCACGGGCAAGACCGACCAGACGGTTTCGGTGAATGGCAACGTGGTATTGACCCTGTCCACCTGTACGTCCTGGCCATCAGACCTACCACGGCTCAAGTGCTTCTTGTCTCGATGCTAACTGGTCCAACAGCCAGCGGCCGCGGTGGTCTGGGCTGGGGCACCGCAATGGAGTGCCAGCAGGCGAACTGCGGCACCGTGCCCGCGCATCACTACATCAACACCAAGCTCACGACGAGCGCTGCTAACCCCAACTATAAGAACACCCTGGCGCTGAACGGCGCCTCGGGCAACCTGGCCACTGCCGATGGCGGCAACACCTGGACCGTTGCTGACATTACTGTCAACCTACTGTCAACCAGTACACCTACACGTAGGTTCTGTATGTCTGGGACAGGTGAAAGGATCTTTCGAGACACAAGAGGGCAGTGTGTAGGGGTTGAGGAGTGTGATAGTGGCCACTGATGTATATTTATGCCCCTCGTTTATAAACGTAGCTATGGCGGTTATGCGTCTTAAAATATATGTACCTGCATGTGCATGCATATCAGCCTGACCTTGTAAGGAATTAGCACGTGCTCCCGGCCATAAACCGGGCACTCGGAGGCCAGTTGCAGTAGCGCCTTGTCACAGTGACGGGGCCCAGGTGGTGTGGAATAATCATGATTACAAAAAGATAACTTCCAAGTTCCTATCCAGTCGCTCGCAACAAGAGCCATTCTCAAGCCCGATGGCAAATCCCGTGCGTGTTTTCTATTGGTATATATTGCCCAGTCACTCCAGTGTCCTTGGCCCATGTTCCTTTAAGCCAAAACGCCAACAGGCGGCACACTTTCCGCATAGGGTGCCGCCACAGTTCGAAAGGTATCTTGTATATCTCTCTATACAGCAGAATCGTCTTCCCTCCTGCGCCCTGTGACCTCGGCCGGGCCGGACGCCTCTTCAATGCGGTCCGGTTCAGGGCTGTCCCTGTAGGGCCTTCGAGCAGCCGGGGCAGCGTGGTCCCCCGGGTCGTCACTATACTCTGGGAACGTGGAGCTTGACGGCCTTGACAGAAGGTCCCCTGAGGAGTCATTGTTTCTATTCCTCCACCAACGCGAGATGCCTCCAATTGCGCCCTGGACTGGACCCCCGGAAATCCTTCGGCTTGATTTCCGAGCCGTGAAGCCGGGGAAGCCTGTAGACTTCCTGCGGGCGCGGAAGCTGGATCTCCATGGCCGTGGCGAGTCCGCACTCGTCGATGTTTCACCCAATATGAAGGGAGTGTCGCTGATCCCTCTTCGATGGGAACTGAGGAGTGATGCATCGTTGGCTGGGAGAGTCTTCGAGCGCAATCTGCTGACTGGCAAGGGCGAATATGGGACTTCATCGTCGTCCAGCTCGCCCCAGATTTCCTGTCGTTCTTGCCAGCGCGGTCTGGGTAGCGAAGGCAAGAAGGATGTTTTTCTCCGTCCAGAACCAGAGGAGCCTGATGGAGCAAGTGGTAACGGTTTTGGCCTGCTGCGCCGAGCGCTGTCTGGCTCCGGACTGTCAAAGGTGTTATACGTGTAAGTCGTTGGAAGGACGTCATCTTCAGCGCCGACTGTATTAGTGTTGGCGAGGAGCAGGTCCTCTTCCTCCTCCTCACCGTCTGTGTCTTCCACGAGACCCAAACCTGGCGCGAGAGAGGATTGACCGCCCACGGGAGTGTGCTGCTCGTCGCTCAGTCTCCAAGAAAGCGCAAGGACACCTGACAAGAGAATGACGGTGCCGAGCGCTATGAGACAACCGCGCAACGCGCTGATGAGTTCGGTCTGATCGAAGTAGATGAGCCCATCTAGGATGGCAATGATATTGTAAATGCAGAATACCAGGGGGTATAGGACAGATGTCGAGACCAGCTTGAGGCCTCGATGCAGATAGTAGAGTTGAGTCAATGCTAGTGTGATGAGCGCCAGGACAATCACCCACGCTTGCCAGCGAACAAACTGGTTCTTGCCGTCCACCACGGTCTTGATGATGAGTTCGACGGCCGATTTTGCCACCAGCAGTGAGTGGGCGGACAATATGCCACTTACGCAGCCGTAGGACAGGCCGCGGATCAGGCGAAACCGCGGGCTCTGCGAGAGATTCAGGAAGTGGTTCGCGCCGTCGATTACGGCGCAGATGGAAATGACGAGGACTGCTTGCAGTGCCATCCACAACACGAAGGCCGACCTCCCCAGCAGCGCCAGCAGCTCGTCCAAGGTGTGTGTGGGAGACGGTATGGCGCCAAAGATAGCGATCAGCACTGCGCCGGCGCACACCAATAATGTGCCCCATAGTGACCACCTCGTGAAGGGCTCGCCCAGTATGAGCGTGGCGCATATTGAGTTGAAGACTAGGCCCGAGGCCTGCAGCGTGGACAGAACGGGCAGCGGTAGTGTCGATATCTGGACGGTACTCCCGAGGATATTTGATACTATGAACATGGCCATCCCGATCTGCCATCTCCTCCTTCGGTGAGGTGGTCGGCGGACATCGTGGGGCCCCTTCTCGTCTTCGAGGATGTGCGACTTGCGTTGCAGTGTCAGACCTAAGCTCTGCACGCCGGTCGAAAGCAGTCCGGTTATAATGCCGAGCTGTACAGCATGTCAGCGCCGCGCCTCGAGGGAGGGCTGCCTGCGACCCAGAAGCACAGTCGCAGGATCAAAAACATACCGCGATGCTCCCACCAGGGGACATGCCGCCAATAGACCCCATTGCGCCGAATCAGTTGTGCAGGGACGCATCTGGCAGAAACAGCCAGAGGATAAGGTGTATGGATATTCGCGTGTCGCGTTGCACATAAAAGGAGCCTCTGCGATGGAGTATTTAGGTCGCAGGTGGGAAAGGGGGTCGGTGGGCTTCGAGTGTCGTTCTGTCCCGGGAGGTGTAACCCTCGTGCCTGGGGTCTGCACCTGGCACCTGGCCGAGGTTGTGGTACACCGCAGTAGTCGGAGGGGCAGTCAAAGACACAGGATGGAGTTGGTTGGGACGGTTCGTTCAGGAGGACCGTGTCGTTACCGGGCAGGTCGTCTCGAGGTTTGGAGCGGGTCAGAAACTCGAATCGATTCGCGGCGAATGACCTCAGTCAAATGGACGTCACGGCCGCGGCCCTGAGACATCCGAGTGGGCTGTTTCGAAGTGCTGGGTGACGCCGCGGTGTCGGACGCAGACCACTTGAGCTGGTCACAAGTCGGCGGCCTTTTCCCTCTGGTCAGGCACAGTCATTCGCAGCGTCGTCGAGGGGGGCAAGTAGTCTGATTGATGGGTGGGACGGGATAGAAACGGTTGAGCGGTAGGGAGTAGATGTGTGTATTATAGAGCATGGAGACTATAGTCTAGGAAGGTGGGCTTCATGCGGGAAGCGAAACATCGAGGTGCGCGAGCAGCCAAGTCGCTGACGATCAATGATCGTGGGCCGTCCATGCCCCAGGCCCAGACTCCCCAGGGCTCCCAGCCCAACGGTGATCATGCTGAATCCAGAACAGCGCTGCCGCGGCCGCCCCATCGATCATGACCGCTGCCACTGCTGGCCCAATCACGAGGGGCTGCTGCACCGCTAGGCGCTGTAGAGGCAGTGCGACCAGCGCATTACAGACCAATCTACGGCTGTTTGCAGCACCAAGCGATAGGAGCCTACTGGCGGGCTGCCCCTAAAGAGGTAGAAGACGTAGCGGCGGCAGTGGACCCCTGGCTGAATCAAGCTGCCTGCTCCTGGGCGGGCTGGCTTGGGAGCTGGAGGTCTAATGTGCAGGTGTGCAGATACCGGCGGGCAGTTGGGCTTGGCAGCATCAGCACGATGAGTGACGGAGCTCCAAGTCCAGCAATAGGCCAGGATCCACCAAGCCATCCTCTAGGAGGCATCGTCTCTCGGCCTGACCACGACCACGACAACGACCACGATCACGACTTACACCATCTTCCACGACTGACGACCCTTGTTTTCGCTAGACGCCGCGTCTTCCTCCCTCCTCGCCCCGTCCCTCCCCGCGAGAGCGTCTAGCTCCCCTCACCGTACCGAACCTCATATCCCGCAGTCGTCACCACCGACAACCGCCCAACATGTCGCAAGTCCACGCCTTGTCTGACGACCAGGTACGCATGACTGCACCAGGTCCTTATGCACACTTCGTATGGGGCGTCAGCAGCTAACAATGGCCACCCTCAACCCTGCAGGTCGGGCAAGAGCTCCGTAAGATGACGGCGTTCATCCGCCAGGAAGCCAGCGAAAAGGCCCGCGAGATCGAGATCAAGGCCAACGAGGAGTTCGCCATCGAAAAGTCCAAGCTGGTTCGGCAGGAGACCGACTCCATCGACTCCTCGTACGCCAAGAAGTTTAAGCAGGCCAGCCTGTCGCAGCAGATTACGCGGTCCACCGTCGCCAACAAGACCCGGCTCAAGGTCCTCGCCGCCCGGCAGGAGCTGCTCGACGACATCTTCGAGCAGGCCCGTGGCAAGCTGGCAGAAGGCGCCAAGGACAAGAAGAAGTACGGTGTCGCCCTCAAGGGCCTCGTCCTCGAGGGCATGTACGCCCTGGCCGAGCCCGAGCTGCAGGTCCGCGCCCGCAAGGCCGACTACGACCTCGTCCGGACCGCGATCGAGGAGGCTGCCAAGGAGTACAAGGACAAAGTGGGCAAGGAGACCAAGGCTACCATCGACGAGAGCAACCCCGTGCCCGAGGGAAGGTAAGAGAGGAACCCTTCCCCATGGCTCACCACATGTGGACTTGAGGACGCAGCTCTTTCTGGTAGAATGCTGCTAACAAGACTGGTGTCACAGTGCCGGCGGCGTTGCTATTCTCAGTGGAAATGGCAAGATCGAGATCGACAACACGTTCGAGGCGAGGCTGCAGCTCCTCGAGTCCAGTTCACTGCCTGCCGTACGAAAGACGCTGTTCGGGGCGAACCCCAACCGCAAGTTCTTCGATTAAAGAGAGGGCGGTATCTATCGCATGCATGCCTTGTGCTGGTTTTCTACGTTTACAGTGGTCGTTCGTCATATGGCGTGAGAGGAAGAATAAACTTGTGCCGACAGCCACGGACGTGAAATCTGGTTCGAGGCCACTGGCCGTGGTACATGCAAGAATGTATTATAATGTCGTTTTCGCATTCCTGATACTCATACTGCATGCTATTGATGTTCATGATATCGCATCTCCTTTGAATCACAGGTACCCTGCATGTTGAAAGCAAGGCGGACATCTCGACGTCTGATTCCTCCCGCCGTTTCCATCCCGAGACAGGTTCCACAGAAATCCCGAAGAGGAACACCTTGTTACTACTTCCGTCACACATGCTTCCTTCAGTCAGAACGAGGTTACAGAGCCCTCGGGGCTCGAACATAGTCACAATGTTGACTTTGCAGAACTGAATCAATGCCACGAGCCATAACAATATTATACTAATACCAGGCGCTGCTTGCAGCGGCAGGCGGGTAGATAGCATTTGGCATATATCCAACAGCTCACAGAGAATGCTGACTGCGGCTACGGTGGCTGTCTGAGTGTGCTGTCACCAGGTATTGTCAGAAGAGGTGCCGGTGTCAACCTCTACTTGATCTCTTATACAGTACTATAGCACTAAGGTTGGTATTGACAGATCTGAGTATCTTATGAGCATTCTCGTGGGATGGATTAAGTGCGTCTGTCTCAAGTTTGTAATCAGGTGCATAGGCAAGCTGTCATACGCATAGCAGTCTAATCTAATGAGATACCGAAACACTCCATCCCGCCAGGACCCCACGAGGTACTCAGGACTATCAACGGCGAAATCAGTGCTGCGTATGAAAAGACTTGTCATTGACCAACAGAGACAGCCACGCCCGGAAACACCCGGCAATGCTATCATTCTCACAGCTACTCTCGCCTTAGAAACTAAGAGCCTCACCCAGCCATCACCGTGTCCGTGGTTTCTATTTTGACACCCGGCCCTCTGTTGTTCTTCTTGAGGAACCCCTTCATGAAATCCCTCTGCTTCGGCAGAGACGCGTCCTCCTCCGCGTCGTCCTGCAACCCGAAGATATTTTTCTTCGGAACCGCCTTGATCCTGACCTGGTACAGGAGCCTCTCGCGTATCAGCTCCATCGCATTCTTGGCCTCTATCCTAGACACGTGAAGGCCCCGGTTGAGCGGCGCCACCCGCGTCAGCATGCTCTTGAGGCCCTCGGCCAGCTCGTCGACCTCAGCGTCGAAGCTGACGGCCGACCTCTCGGCCCGGTCGTCCTGCCTCGACGCGTCGCCCAGCGCGGCGTTGAGCATCATCATTAGCGCCTCGAACTCGTGGTAGTCCGTGTCCTGGTTGATCTGGAACTCGTCCGCCTCCTCCAGCCGGTCGATGACGGCGCGGATGTTGACCGTGTCCTCGGGTCGCTTGTCCGCGCGGTGGAGGTCGTCGAAGAAGAACACGGACGCCAGCCGCCGCTTGAGGTCGAGGGTGCGCGTCTGAAAAGCTATGGTGTAGGCCCTGGCCGGAGCGGCAGGGCCTAGGAGAGCCACGGCCCGCAGCCGCGTCGTGGCCCTCGGGGAGCTCTGGTAAAGTGAGTGGCAGGCCTCCTGGCAGAATGAGGTCCAGTCCGCGTCAGGCACACTGCGGGCGACGAGATCCACCACCTGCCGCCACCTCTGAGTGAATCCGAAGTTCTCCGCGGCTAAGCTGTCCATTCCCAGGCGCAGAAGGATCTGCATCGCCGTGGAGCGAGCGGCTGGAGTGAGATGACATGCCATTGCCCCTACTAAGTCGAGCATGCTTTCGACGCATGACCAGTCCCGACTTGGATATGGATGCCGAATTTCCTCCCTCAAAGTAATGGGGCCCATAAGATTGTCGACGTCTTTCGTTGCGCCGAGCTGTCTGAACAACTTCTGCAGAAGTGCTGGCGTGACAATGCGGGTCGTCTGATCGGTGCAGATGCTCAACAACTTGACATACTCAGTCTGCAAGGCCTTCCGCCTCTCAGAGCAGACTTCGTCCAGGATCCAGAGGAATATCTCATCCGGAAGGTTCCTCAGCTTCTTCTGTATGTCGTAGGGAAAGCCGCTCGCGAAGTGCCTCCCGCGATCCTGGGTATCATCAAGCACAGCCCACGGTCCCTTCGCCTTGGCCCTAGGGAACTTCCTGCCCACCACGTCTGCTTCAGGCTCATCCTGCTCGAAGAAGTAGTACGCCTTCCTCGCACCGCCGACCTCCGCGCGCTGCAGGGCTCTCACGACCCGCATCTTGGTCTCAGTCCCATCCTCGTCCGCTCCCTCGTCGTTCGCAGCAGCTGTGGCCGCCTCAAGTATGTGCTCCTTAAGCGCAGCCGCCGCTCTGCCCTCTTGGCCGTGCTCCTCCTCACCCTCCCCTGGAACAGCACTCCCACGCTGCATCTCGGCCTCCTGCTCCAGCATCGCGGAGAAGCGCTGAGCAGACGCCCTAGTCTCCTCGTCCTTGCGCGCGAACTCCAGCAGGGCCTGCATGTCCTGCTTCTGCTTCTTGCTCTGGATGGTGAGCGGCGATGAGTGGAATTCATGCGCTGCGGCGGTCCGCTTCGCGCGGGGCGTCGCGAGCAGGGTGAGCGGGGCAGACGGCGCTGCTCCCGCTGCTCCCGCTGCTCCCGCTCCTGCTGGCCTTGTTTGCCGTGGCACGGTCGGGCCGCTGTTGCGCATCAGTATGTCCGGCAGCGAGTCATCGTCCGAGTCGGAAAACTCGTCGTCAGAAGCTGCAATCACGGCGTCGGCTGATGGGGGGCCTCGGGGTCGGAGAGCTTATGGAGGGAGGTGAGGAGGGAATGTCGGAGCCTGGGGAGGGGAAGGCATTTTCAGGTTCAGCATCATCACGACTCCGCTTAGACGGGGTTTCTGGCGCCAACGCTCGGTTCTGGGAGCTCCGCGTCGGCGAGGCTGGCGGCTTTGATGCCTGAGAGCCTGCAAAGAAGCTGCGGATGTCCCCGTTCTTCTGGGAGACCATGCTGGCTGTGCTCGCTTTGGAATGCGTGTCTGGACAAACTAGCTAAATTGATATCATATCAAACAGTTGGCCCAAGCTGAAATCACAGAGGCTCTAGTGGGAGGTCAAGATTGCTTGTGCATTTGGTGATGCCAGTGACGTTTTGAGCGCGTTCCGACCGCGACTTGCGCGTTGATGGGAGTAGGGGTGTGGGGTGCTGCAACCCGTGCCTTCCTTCAATTCAGTGACACTAACAGATTGCAGGCGCTAGGAAGGCGCGATGTGCTATCGTAAGGGCTCTCCGGCCCAGTCTCCGTCCGTCTCTTGTGCATGAGCTCACGTTTATCCACACACAATCCTCATCAAAAGAGAAACGTCCTTCGCAGGAAAGCCCTTTGCCGAAAGCCCTCTGCCGAAAGCCCTCGAGATACGGGTGGCCACCCGTCAGCCACGCTCAGACGCGCGAGGGGCGGGTCTCAGACAGCATTCCTGAGGCCAAGTCCTCCCGACGCACATCGCCACTTCTCGATTGGCTTTGTTCGAGGAGATCCTCCCATCACGGGTTTCCGTGTGTCTGCTGGGTGTTGTGCAGCCGGACCAACCAAAGCTTAAGTCCCATTAAGTTGTGTCTCAGGGATTGCAGTACGGATAGGTGCTGTGCGAACATGCTATCACGGTCCACGTCCGCCGTCTCAGCATCTGCAGGAGCATCTTTTGAAATGCGCCCCCTGCGTGTCACGACGCTTTTGCACAGAGGCCCTTTGCGCCACAGTCCCAGACGAGAAGTCCGGAACGGTTAAACCCGGTCTGTCGGTGATAATCCCGCCCCTTAACTCCAGACGCCAACGGTCGGGGTACACCGCTTCAGGTATTGCTCTTCGTTCTTCTCGAGTCGCGTCTTCGAGTCAGAGCCGACCGCGACTGACCGTCGAAACGTGCGACAATCGAAAGCCCCGGAGTGGTCATTTGGACTATCGGAGGATTTCAAGGCGAGGCATCTCACATTGATGAGGCTCTTATAACAATTGCCCTGCGGACCCGACACCATTTCGGTCCGGGCGGGAGAAGATCACCGCCAAGTGGGTCTGGATGCCCGGCTCTTGTGCCCGCCCCTTGCAGCACTCATGAAACTGCGCCCAAAGGCCCCTCGCTCGAATCAAGACTGTTGTCTACCACACGACTAAAAGCTTCACCTGCGGCCACTTACTATACAGCTTGCCAGTCGTCCGACGGGGGGACGTGTTGCTTGTTACTCTCTGTCCCCCTGGTTGTCTCCCATATCAAGTTGCTTCGTAAGCGGAGGAGCCTCAGTGTGCGACGCAGTAGGGCCGACGGAGGGCACGGCAGTCTGCATGAAAGTTGCCTCCGTGGATCTTCCCAGTACCGTGCGGCGCTGTGCACAACGAGAGGCGAGTGACGACACAGCGGGCCCCTTGCCAGATGCGCGGAGTGTTTCGTCTTGGCACCACCGACAAAAGGAGGCGTCGAACGAGCATGTTGATGACGCTTCTGTAAAGGCTTGCAGGATGCAATGGGTAGGGCTGAGGGCACAAGACAGAGTATGAAAGATATCGAGTCACTTTCTCTGGTGATTGACAGCGCAACTGTATCGATTGGGGGTCAAGCTTACTGCGATCGAAGCGCCCCAGCCTTGTTTTGGTGCCTCACTCTTCTCAGCTCCGCCCCCTGGCCCCTCGTGGCTTGACAAGTGTTGCTATGTGCGACTTGCTTGGTAGAGGTGGCCAGTCGTGGGACGCGAGCCCAGTGGGTTTGCAATGTCGCACACGTACAAGCGTTGGAGGGATTCGAGGGGGCCCCTTTCCGTGGCCAAGTGTTGTGTATGTGCGTGCCTACTTGGCTATTTTGATAGTTCTCTGGGCAGTGCACGCCAAGGTTGAGAAATGAACCTTGGAAAACCAACAGCCAACAGGGAGTTCGCGCCATCCCTATCATTGCCCGTTCTGGGTTCGGCGGACATGGGATGAGGATTGACTCATTGGGGAGACCACGATTGCCGTCACCCAGTTGATGTTCGAGACTTATTAGAGACTTTCCTGCGCTAACAGCCCCGGACATGAGTGGTGGGCTTTTTTCTTTGACTGGTGACGAACGGGTTGCAGTAGGTTGAAGCTGGTGTATCCGCAGATTCGGGTCCATCGGGGCTGATGCAGAGGCCGAGAAGGACGCGAAGCGATTGACGAACGCCTCTCCCTAATAATAATACCACACAAAGCACGGTACCTGGGCACCCAGTGCTACTATGTGCGTGCACCTGGATCACGCACCACGCACCACGCACCACGCACCACGCACACAGTAATCCACCAGTCCCACATGCGCGAGCTGGGGATCAGCACGGATTCGTAGCATAGGCTGCTCATTTCCCAGTCTCTTGTCAACTGCATGCGAGCTGGGCGAAAAGTTTCATCTCTGACCAAGACGCGCACAAGATGAGAGGGAATGGGCTGTGGGGGCTCTTCTGCCAAGATTGCGGGTGACCAAGATTGTGCAACCCCTGGGTCGCATTCTGGTCCCTGGATTTGTGGGAAGCCCCCCCTATTCAGCATCTCCACCCCCATCTGGACCAGCCAATCTCGGGGCGGCGGTGACACTGCCCAAGGCTGAAGAGGGGGTCGGCACCGGTGAGATTAAAACGCGATCGGCCTCCGGATCTCCATCGAGCATGCAATATCTCGCATTTTGTAGGTCACTCGCTCGATTTGACTTTCTAGGCCACCATGGACAGAGGGGCTGCCGGTACTGCTCGGGCAATCGGGGGCAGGATTTGGAAGGGGAGGGGGAGGAGGAGGAGGGGAAGGGGGTCGGCCGGTGTTGACGATCTCGGCGTACGGAGTACATGGACCAGAACGGGTTTCGATGGGCGGCCGTTGATGCGTGCCCAGTTATTACTTGAAGCAGGTACCTGCCAAACCCGGTCTTGTTAATCTAATAAAAATCCGTAAGCTGTGGCTGAGGCGCTGCGTGAAGATGACAACGGGGAAACACAGATGCTGGGTCTGGAGAAGCGAACGGCACAATGCATAATGAGGATCAGTGCTGATGAACAGGTATCGTGTTTGCCTTACTCATGACCCGGGGATCCTCGCCATGCCAATGCCCGTACTGCCTGCCTGCCTGCCTGCCTGCCTGCCTGCCTGCCTGCCTTCTTCTCTATCTGCATCTGCACATACGGGCAGGAAGAATAACTGGATACCTGGCACGTGGACGGGACACACTCTGGTGGACAAAGGGATGGACGGCGACACGCTCGGCGGACTCGGAGACACACGTCCGTGCCAAAATGTCCCGACTATCTTGGTAGCCAGACTAGTCAGTCGCAGTCAATCGACCTCCAGGATATGGTTGCATCAAGCAGAGACAGTTGCTGGCGTAGGCATGTGGCCCATGTGGTCTAAGAGTCTAGTGCGTGCGGCGACCTGACTCCCGTAGGCACACGAAGGAAGAAGACAGAGCGCGTGGGTGTGGTGGGAGCGGGTGCAGGTGCAGGTGTGGATGGATGCTTACCAATGCCATGCCCGCCCGCCCTGGCTACCCCCGACTGGCTCTCCTCGTCTCGTCTCGTCTCGCCGTCATCGTCCTCTTCCAACTTTTCCCTCGCCATTCCCTGTTGATTCTCGCTTCCAACAGACCCAGAGCCCCAGAGCCCCCGAGCCTCCGGGAACAGCCAAGGATTCTCCCAATTGGGTGCGCGTGGCGGTCTCCTCGTCTCTCGTCGTCGGTTTCATCGGGCTGCTGGTAACACTGCTGCCGCCGAACCCTTTATTTCTCCCTGCCCGTCGCCTCCCGGCTATCCGAGGCCCTGCTGATGACAGGGTTACAAGGCTGTCTTGCATCTGGATGCTGAGCTGACAAGGGACCTGGGACCTTCCGGCGCCGACCTCAGCCTTTCCTGCTGGCAACAATACCACCGTGAAGTACACAACAGTCGCACAGCCCATCCTGACAACAACAACCAACCGTTGCCGTCAGCTTCAGCCCCGGTGTTGGTCGTTCTTCCTGCCCACCAGCTGTGCTCCCGTACAACGTCACTAGATCCTTCTCTCGGACTTGGGTGCGATCGAAACGGCAGTGCCACCTTTAAGCTACCAGGCTAGCCCAACAGGTCCCGCCGGTACCGTGCACAGTACGCACCTTGACGTACATTTTTAGTGCAGCCAGCCCATTCCCGCCCCTGTGGTTGCTGGCCAACGCCGACGAGCGAAGCGCAATTCGCGACCTTTTTTTTTTTTTCCAGGGCTCCTCCTCTCCTCCACAGGGGCCTAGCCATTTGGACTTGGATCACGCTGGGAGGGATTGTCCTCGTTCCGCGCCCCGGTGCATCCGACACCTGCAGCTAGTAGAGCCAACTCTACAGCAATTGTGCGGCACACTGAGGCTACCGAGACTGCCTGCCTACCCCCATCCATCCATTCACTCGTTCACTACCTGCCTAGTCTACCTACCTGTCGTTACATACCAACCAATTCCATCTCACCTAAGCTGCGCTCGCGCTGCGCTGCGCTGCGCTCCCAATCCCAATCCCATTCATTCCCTCCCTCGCTATTCCCGCGTCCCTTTTTTCGACCCTACCAAGCCGATCTTGGAGCCAGCGCCCCCGAAAGAAGCTTCCCAGCCCGTCCGTCGACCGCTGCCGCCCCCCATCACTACATCTACCTAGGTACTCCACAGGTCGCTCGGGTTCGACAACTCCCCGGCCGTGCTCGTCTTCCCAACTCCTACTCTCACCTACCCCTTCGACTCGGCTCGACTCGACTCGACCGCACCCACGACCAGCACCCACGCCCGCCCACGCTCTCTCCGCCGCCTCGATCGTTTCAACCTGTGCACCCGCCCTCCAACCTATTTGCGTATCGTGGTAATCACCAAACTGGAATCCGACAGGCGACCACATACACCGGCCAGGCGGACGAACATCGGCGCCAACGCGGCCCAGCCTGGCGAGCAATCAGGCGTGATCGGGCCTGGCCCGCGACTGCCACACAATGGCCCCAGACTCGCCAACAGAAGCTGGCGACGGCACAGCTAGCAGTGGAAGCAACAGTCCTGACAAGAGGAAGATAGACAAAACGAAGAGATCAAGATGGGCGACGCGGAAAATGACCGTCAAGAGCAGCAGCCTAAAGCGACTTTCCTTGATTGGTCGACAATCACTTAAGCCCTCACACAACGAGAAGAAGAGGCAATCCGGCGGCTCAGAAGCCTTGCAGTCACAACAGCCCGGCGAACAAAATGCAGACGACGCAGAAGAGGAGGAGGAGACACACGGTCCTGGGCCGCGGCAGCTGTATTTCAACCAGCCCTTGCCCCCAAGCATGGTGGACGAGGACGGCAGTCCATTACAGCAGTTCACGCGCAACAAGATCCGGACCGCCAAGTACACGCCGTTGTCATTCTTGCCGAAAAACCTGTGGTTCCAATTTCAAAACATAGCCAATATCTTCTTCCTTTTCCTCGTAATCCTCGTCGTAAGTATCCATACTTGAACCACACTGCCCTGTCCCTGGGTCTTCAGGTACGGAGCCGGGCCACTCACACTTTCTAGATCTTCCCTATATTTGGAGGCACTAATCCTGGACTAAACGCCGTACCACTAATTTGCATCGTCGCCATCACCTCAATAAAAGACGCCGTGGAAGACTACCGCCGGTCCAATCTCGACAACGACCTCAACAATGCACCCGTTCACCGCCTTTGCGGTTGGAATAACCCCAATGTGCTGGAAGACAACGTCTCCACGTGGAGGAAGGTCAAGAAGGCGAGCTCCAGGTTTTTCGGCTCGATTTGGCATACCATCGAGCGATTATGGAAAAAGGAGGATGAGGCGACGAGGCAAAGGAGGGCTGGCATCTACGATAACAGCGATCCTCGCGCATCCGTCGACACGAGGGTCACTCACGGCGCTTCGACCGCACGACAATCTTTCGTCTCTGCCACCGAGGAGATCCAGATGACACCCGTGGCTTCTCCTCTGCCCGTCCAGGACAACAACGGGCACTTGGATGTTCAGCGACCGGCGACCAGTTACTCCTACGAGGGAGGCGCGGAGGCTAAGTTCGACGCCCTCAAGGGAGACGTCATTAACCACGATCTCGCGGCGTCAGGGAACGCTCGATTCAAAAAAGACGCCTGGAAAAATCTTGCTGTCGGCGACTTCGTGCGCTTATACGGCGATGATGAGCTCCCGGCGGATATTGTCATCCTGTCAACCTCGGACCCTGACGGCGCGTGTTACGTTGAGACGAAGAACTTGGACGGCGAGACGAATTTGAAAGTGCGTCAAGCTCTGCGCTGCGGGCGGACCATGAAGCACGCCAGGGATTGCGAGAGAGCACAGTTCATGGTTGATAGCGAGGCCCCGCAGGCCAACCTTTACAAGTACAATGGTGCGATCAAGTGGCAGCAGAAGGTGTCAGAGTCCACAACCCACGAGATGTCCGAGCCGATCACCATCGACAACGTCTTGCTGCGTGGCTGCAACCTACGAAACACGGAGTGGGTCCTTGGAGTGGTCCTTTTCACCGGCCACGACACCAAGATCATGATGAACGCCGGCATCACACCTAGCAAGCGAGCAAGAATTGCCAGGGAACTCAACTTCAATGTTGTTTGCAACTTCGTGATCCTCTTCGTCATGTGTCTCGTCGCGGCCATCGTCAACGGCACTGCTTGGGCCACAACGGACTCGTCCCTGTACTACTTTGATTATGGCTCTATCGGCTCAACGCCTTCCATGACCGGATTCATCACCTTCTGGGCGGCTCTCATCGTGTTCCAGAACTTGGTGCCGATTTCGCTATACATCTCATTGGAAATCGTGCGTACGCTTCAGGCCATCTTCATTTACAGTGACGTGGAGATGTACTACGAAAAGATCGACGCGCCTTGCGTCCCAAAGTCTTGGAATATCTCGGATGACGTGGGCCAGGTAGAGTACATCTTCTCCGACAAGACGGGGACGCTGACCCAGAACGTCATGGAATTCAAAAAGGCAACCATCAACGGTCAACCATACGGCGAGGCCTACACGGAAGCGCAAGCTGGCATGCAGAAGCGGCTCGGCGTTGATGTTGACAAAGAAGCCTCAAAGATCAGGGCCGAGATTGCGGCTGCCAAAGTGCAAGCATTGGACGGGCTTCGTCAGTTGCACCCAAATCCCTATCTGCATGACGAGGACCTCACATTCATCGCCCCTGATTTCGTGGAAGACTTGTCTGGAAAGCATGGTCCGGAGCAGAAAGAGGCAAATGCGGAGTTCATGTTAGCATTGGCGCTGTGTCACACGGTGATTGCGGAGAAGCAACCCGGGGATCCGCCCAAGATGGAGTTCAAGGCCCAGTCGCCCGACGAGGCTGCTTTGGTGGCCACTGCCCGTGACATGGGATTCACCGTTCTCGGACACACTGGCGACGGCATCAACGTTAATGTCATGGGTGAAGACCGTCACTACCCGATCCTCAACACAATCGAATTCAACTCGAGCAGGAAGCGAATGAGTGCCATCGTGCGCCTACCGGATGGTAGGATCGTGCTGTACTGCAAGGGCGCTGACAGCGTCATCTACTCCCGCCTCAAGCGAGGAGAGCAGCAGGAGTTACGCAAGGAAACGGCAGACCACCTGGAGATGTTTGCGCGGGAAGGTCTCCGGACTCTCTGCATCGCCAAACGTTATCTGACGGAGCAGCAGTATCAGGCTTGGCTGAAGGAGCACCAAGTTGCCGCAACCGCGCTTGACGAGCGTGAAGAGAAACTCGAAGTTGTGGCGGATCAGATTGAACAAGAACTCACCCTCCTTGGTGGTACAGCTATCGAAGATCGACTACAAGACGGCGTTCCTGACACAATTGCACTGCTTGGTGACGCGGGTATCAAACTCTGGGTCTTGACTGGCGACAAGGTCGAGACTGCTATCAACATCGGATTTTCCTGCAACCTCCTCAACAACGACATGGAGTTGATTCGACTGCAAACCATCGAGGACGAGTCTGGCCAAACTCCGCCGGAGGAATACCTGCGCCAGGTCGAGACTGCGCTTGATCAGTACCTGAGCACGTTTGGAATTACTGGCAGCGATGCGGACCTGAAGGCCGCTCGTCATGAGCATAAAGCACCACCTGGCACGCACGCGCTAGTCATCGATGGCTTTACCCTTAGATGGGTGTTGGACAAGGAGCTCAAACAAAAGTTCCTGCTTCTCTGCAAGAACTGCAAGTCGGTGCTTTGCTGTCGTGTCAGCCCTGCCCAGAAGGCTGCCGTCGTCGCTATGGTAAAGACTGGGCTCGACGTTATGACCCTGTCAATTGGAGACGGTGCGAACGATGTCGCCATGATTCAAGAAGCCGATGTTGGAGTCGGAATTGCCGGAGAGGAAGGTCGCCAGGCCGTCATGTCTTCTGACTACGCCATTGGCCAGTTCCGTTTCCTGTGCAGACTTGTCCTGGTCCATGGCCGATGGTCCTACAGACGTCTGGCCGAGACAATCAGCAACTTCTTCTACAAGAACATGATCTGGACGTTCAGTATCTTCTGGTTCCAAGTCTTCTGCAATTTCGACATCACCTACATTTTCGACTACTCCTACATCATCCTGTTCAACCTCTTCTTCACCTCGGTACCGGTCATCCTGATGGGAGTACTGGACCAAGATGTGTCTGACACGGTTTCGCTCGCTGTTCCACAACTTTACCGCCGAGGTATCGAGCGGTTGGAGTGGACTCAGCGAAAGTTCTGGCTATACATGTTAGATGGTGTCTACCAGTCCGTGATGGTCTTCTTCATCCCGTACCTCACCGTGATCAACAGTAACTATGTTACCTTCAACGGTCTCGACGTGTCGGATAGGCTGCGTCTTGGGTGTTATATTGCCCATCCGGCTGTGCTCACCATCAACCTGTACATCCTCATCAACACCTATCGATGGGACTGGATCATGCTCCTGGTGGTTGTCATCAGTGACCTCTTCATTTTCTTCTGGACAGGAGTGTACACTTCGACCACTTACTCAGGGTCGTTCTATAACGCCGCCCCTCAAGTCTATGCCGAAGCAACCTTCTGGGCATGTTTTTTCATCACTCCGGTCATCTGCATCTTCCCTCGATTTGCGATCAAAGCTTTGCAAAAGGTGTACTTCCCCTATGATGTGGACATCGTGCGCGAACAGGTCAATCAGGGCAAATTCGACCGTCTCATCAACCCCGAAACTGCAGACGAGGCTCAAGAGGGCTCGTCCTCTGGATCAAGCCAGTCTTCGAAGAGGTCCTCGAAGAAGTCAAAACACATGCAGTACGGTAGTGTTGACGAGGACAAGCGGCCTATTTATCCTCCCTCCGTGGCAACACACGCAACACACAACACTCGTACACAAAATGGCAGCGATGGAACGAACTACACCGGACATGAGAGCTCGATGGATGCGGCGCCGAGGTCGACCTCGGTGGAGGATCTGCCTGATCCTGTGCCAGTAAGACCGTCGATCGACCGGACCAGGCCATCATATGACAGGATACGAGCATCAATGGACCGCGTCAGGCCAAGCTACCAGCAAAGCAGCGACTTCACCTCGGCAGCGAGACTAAGCCGCGTGGAGTCCTCCCAATCAGGCCACCACCAACTGGGCAACAGTCTGCTCAACAGGACGAGACTGAGGGGAATGTCCATCATCTCGAACAGAAGCAAACCATAATCACCACCTAATCACACTCCCTCAATCAAAAGTCACCATACCCGTTGTACTATACAAAAACGGCGATTCCCATTCCCTTGCCACCCTGTTGATATCCCCGATGTTTCAAATCAATGCATTTACGATCTTCGCATGATCAGCGATCTACGAGCTCTTTGCTTCGGCGGTTTATTGAGAGCGCATCGAACGCAACACCGAGTCCGCTCAGAAGGACAGCGCTTTCCAACATGGCTTTGCTTCTCTCCATTTCTGCTTCATTGTCTCCTGTTGTCCTTTTTTCTTTTTTTTTTTGGTGATAATTACGCGATAGGCTGGTTTCTGGTCTGGCGTTTGGGAGCATATGCGGGCAGAGAGCTTTTGTCGGAAGTTTCGAGGAGGAAAGAGGAAGGGAAAGTCGAGAAATGAGGAAGCACATCAGATGGGCCTGCATGAGCCGCGCCACGAGGTCAACGCGACGAGCGAGACGGGTCGGGGAGAAAGGGGATGAGCAGTACAGGGCAGAATCTGCATCTATATACCTACGTAAAACATCCTACTTAGTACTGGAGAACAAAGAACGAAACCATATGGTCAGGCGAACGGATGAGAAGGGGGAGGAAGAGAAGGAGCCTTTTTTTCCCTGGCCGAGTTTGCCTGCCTGCCTGCCTGCATATAGATACATACCCCTTTTCAATCAATACCAGCATGAGGTTTAAGGCTTCAACCCTTTATCATGTGATTTCCATCTGGTTGGAGGCGTTGATCGTGCCCCAGACCTTGTCCCAGACCTTGTCGAGCACTTTCTTGTGGTTTTAGTGAGCCTTGAGAACAGGTTTTCCTTACACGAAAATAATTTGATTTCCCAACATGCAGGAGTAAGAAGGTTTACATGCAAAACTTGTCTAGCAAGAATCCTCTGGGACACTCTTGACGAACAAGACCTACTTATACAAGCAATGCAGATGGTTAAACCTCAAGTCACTGGTCAGAAGTTAGGGTTTAGCAGTGGATTTGAGTCACTGCACGAGGGCTGGGACCTCATGCCACAGGCACGAAAAGGTCGTAAATCACAGAGACCAAAAGAGCATCGATTCAGAGTCAGCTATATGCTTGTCCATCCTTCTGACGGAAACTACTCTTCTTAAAATACACACCCTCTCTGCCGGCATCTTCCCCTGTGATCAACTTGTGCGGGCCCACAGAGCAAAGGGATTCTCAGCTCTGCCGGACACGCAAATGGGAGCGGTATTCCAGAGCAAACAGATGCTGTATGCCAAAGATTACTATTGTTCCCCCATTTTCTTATCCGTTGCCAAGATTATTTTGCAAAACAATGAGGCTCCGAAGGCTAGAATCTTGGTGATTCAATGTGTGAACACCTTGTGGATCCTGAAAGCCTTGATGTGCCCGGACTGGCTATCCATAAAGCTGTATGCCAAATCTTGTTCGTGCAATAAAAAACCTTCCCAAAACTCCCATATGCCACCATGGTTGTGCTTCGTGCTGGTTGTCGTGTTAAGGTCCTGCATATTGTCCTGGAAAGAAAAGGATGGAAACACTGCCCAACCCTTGGTAGCGCTTTGGTCGACAATCGCCCCACAAGGTCAAGGATCACTGTCCTCTTCACTGATTGAACTCAGTGAATTCACTGTCGCTGTGCTCAGACAAGTCAGAGGAGTCCTCATCGGCTTCTGTCTTCGTGACCATCTCCTGGCGCAGGATAGGATTCAGCATGGCTTCTGCGACATCGATCTGAGCAAGCCCATGTGGTGTTTCGTCCTTCATTTGTGCCTCAGGGACTTCTTCAATCACTGCCTTTCGGCTGTTGCGAGTTGATCGAGTCGGACGCTTCGCATGGCGCTGTGTAGGTTTCAGCTCCACACTCTCGTTCTTCTGCTTGCGGGCCCGCTTGGCTGGCTCCTCAAAGTCGCTATCCTCAACTTTTTGCTGTCGACCTCGTTTCTTTGGGGTTCTTGCCTCCAAACCCCCTTCTTCATTCTCCAGTTCCTCACCCAGTTCCTCACCCGATTCCTCTCCTGACTTCTTGGCTTTTAGTTTGGGAGGCGGTTTCTCCTTGCCGGTCCTTTGCAGAAGATCCTCGAGAGGACAGACAGTCTTGTCCCAATCAGCCCACCCTTTGTTGCTATTAGTCTTGCACTTCAAGCAAAACTGGCCATGTCGGATGAATTGCTGGTGCAAATCGTGCTTGAGGTGGTCAGGAACCGTTGAATCCAGGTGCGCGAAAGCCTCATCTTCGCCACCTTTCTTCAACCCTCTAGGGACCCAACCAAGCCACTTTGCAATGCGAAAGCAGTGTGTGTCAATCGCAAAAACAGGCTTCTGCATGCAGAACAGGAGAATACACGCAGCAACCTTGACGCCTACACCTCGAAACGCCATTAGCTCATTCATGGCATCCTTCTCGGACAGCGCGCGCAAGTGTTCGAGGTGGAGGATGCCTTGGTCGAACATCCAGATCTCCTGTTGTTTCTGTTGCCCAGAAAGCAGTTCGGCCGCCAGTACAGTGGCTGGGTTATCTGCAGTCTCCTCCCGGAACGACTTCGCACGTTCAGCGTTGATGTTGTAGATTTGGTCTACGGTTGCTTTGATGTTGATACCCTTCTCGATGTGGTTGCCTCCTTTCTCAATTGCCTGCTGCACTGCCTTGAGGGGGAGAGCGCGGAGGCGGCTGTAATCCAGACAATCTTTCAGTCCTGGGTACTCGTCTGGGTCCAGTTGCAGGTTTTCAGTGACAGTTCCAATGGCCTGGTGAAGGCCCTGGACAGCCTTGTCCGCGTTGTCAAATTGAGTGTTGGTGCTGAGGACTGTACGCAGAAGCGCATCGCAGACCTGCCTGACCTGTCCACAGCCAGCAACCTTCAGGCTTGGAGGTGGAATCTCTGCAGGCTGTGGACATGGACCATGCTCCTTGACGAGGAGCGAGTGAACCTTTGTGCAATCCTCAGCTGACGGTCCCTGGAATTTGGGGAACGGAGTTGTCTTGTAAGGTACAAGCACTTTCTTCTCGTACGGGGTCCGGTCCTTGACGGATGTCTTCATTCGTATGCGCTCCACCTCTTCATCATCGTAAACCCTTGTGGCAACGTAGTAGCCCTCTGGTGCCTTGCTTGTATCGGATGGCTTTGACAGGTCTTCGTCGGGCAACTCACTGGCCTCTGTGGTGATTTTCTTCTCGGTCGAATCAGTGGCCTCAGGCTTGATACCAGCCTGGGTTTTGTTGGGTTGAGTCACAGGCTTGGTGGTTTTCAAGTTCAGTTGCTTCTGTGCTGGCTCGGTTTCGGTGTCTGCATTGTTCTTAAGCTGTCCTGACGTAGCAGATGGAAGTGCAAGACCGTGAGGCAGTGTCCATCCTCCAGATTTGGGTACCCGAGATGCCTTGGCAACACGAGCTCCCCGTTTGGTCTTTCGTTTGGCTGGCATTGTGCGAAGATGAACCCTCTTTGCTTAGTCTGTATCTGTGAGGGATGTGAGATTTTCTGAGCAAAGAGGCAAGTCTTTTGCGACACCAAAGCAGACAGCAAAGCAGACAGTTTGGAGTTGGGCAGCCCCTTGATGGTATAGAACGCTATTGAGATCCAGTTCAACCGGACGAGGAAGAGGAACAAAGATGGGACGAGGCAGTGACTCCGTTACCCACGTCAACTTTGGCTTCAGGGATAGGATTTTGACAGGGAAGATGGAGGTACCAAGTCTCATGTGAGGAACGACTTTCAATCTTGAAGAGTGGCCCAAGAACCTTGAAAAGCAGTGACAGAAGGGCGTAGAGGGAGCAAGCTCGTGCGTACTTACCACCGTTTGGACTGTGTTTGTTGGTCAAGTTTTCAGGCGTAGTCAAACCCTTCATGGGAGAGAAGAGAAAAGAAGAGGAGAGAGAAGTCTGGATCACGAATTGTGAAAATGTACACATTACTGAAAGTAGAAAACAGGAAGGAGGTGGTGGAGGCTCTTGCCTCCAGTCTGCAGTGGCTAGCGTGGCACGGGCCACTCAATAAGTGGTCTGGGACACTCCTGCATTGGCAAACACTACTTGGTCCACAGGCTATGGAAGTGGTAGATGTAGTAGAAAAGGAACTTGACAGTTCGGAATGCTTGAGGTAGTATAGCATAAAGTCTGCAGAATGTGTCCTCAAAGCACATCAGAGGAGGGGAAAGATTGGGGAGGGTAGGGGGGGGAGGGGGAGAGTCTTGAGAATGTCATTGTCCTCTAGCACTGTAAATCTGGATGTTGAATTTGACCTGCACAAAAAGTTGATGCACACGCTGAAGTAACTCAGTCGAGACCTAGAAACGACGAGAAGGACGTGAGGACCGCTCAACAGTATCTTGTTTTGTCCCATTTGTATGCTCTGCCCTGCATCCGTTCCCAGTCTCCTGTACAGCATCAGTACTGAGATGACCAGACAACCATATCGGCTCTTGTGCCAGCCACTTAACCAAGCACTTGCCGAAGTAGATTTGGAAGCGTGCGAAAGCCCCTGTCAGTCCTCTAGTGGGAACGCCAATCATCCCACAGTGTGTGCCAGCCTCCACGGCCACCAACTGAGCCCTCCGAGGCAGTTTCTGCATCCGTTGTGGTCTTTTGACAAATGCCGGGCAAGCAACTTTGCTTGACCGTCAGACCTATGGCAGTCCACTCTTGAGATCACATGGCCATCGTTGCCCAGGCTACATTGGATGCAAAGTATCGACGTGTAAGCGAATGCAGACTATCACTTAGATAGGGCCACGTGCGCGGTCTCTGCTGGTCCTGCGAGCATGTTAGCTTGCAATTCCAGTCAAGTATGACAGTAACATATCGGAATGGTGGTATCTCAATCAGACAGGTACCTGTTCTTCCGCACATTTTGGCTAGGAAGTCGTCCATTATAAAAGGTTGATCATCATGTAGAGGGAGGGCAGTGAGTGGAGGGCAAGTAGATGGCTGGCTGGTGAGCAGCTTACTTACCAGAGTTGATGATGATGACCTGGCTCCCTGAGCATTATAACGGCAGCGAGAGCCATATCATCTAGGGCAAACTTCGTGCACACATCGGGCTTTGACGCGAGCAGGACTGACTGACTGGGCTGGTTGGTGTCAGAGGACGGGATGCAGAAAATTTAGAGCAGCTGTGATTTTGTGAGGTTGCGACACGTGGGCCGGTCCCAACCTGCAGCCAACCACGCGGCAGGGCGAGCTTCGGCACGCTCCGGGCGATCGCACCGTCACACCAGTCTGCAGGTAGATATTAGACGGGTACTATTGTACCTTGCGGGGATGGGAGTTTTATGTTTTGCTCCCGATCGTGGGATATTCCACATCCATTTTCCGTCTGGTGATACATTTCCTTGACTGTTTTGGAGGCCCAGACAAGTTTCTGTCAACTGTCATAGAGTGTAGGAATCATAGGAACGGCCGTTTTGCCATAAATTTGCAAACCAAATCGGAAAGCACATTGATTAAGCCTCTGCCGTGCATCACCTTGTCTCTCCGTGCCCACCTGCGCACTTGACTGTTGTCCGCCTGGGTCTCCGTCTTTCAGCAGCAGCAGCCCCACGGGATAGCTAACTAGGTACCTGCATGGAGCCAGCGGTCTGGTTCAAGCACCTGCAGTATTTAACAGCAGCGACTACTTCAAATAAGTGAATTTGCATTAATCCGCCACATGATCTCGTCTAGCCATCAGCCACACCCAACCTGCCAAATGCAAAGTCAAGAGTCACCACCTTAACACCCTAGGAAGATAGCGTGATAGCTCGCAGTCCACTGAAGGCTGTCCAAGGTTGGATCGAGCGAGTGAGTCAGCTCTTCATTCGGACCTTTCTGTTGTTAGCAGGCTGGAAGGAGAGATCCATTTCCAGGGCGAAGTGCTTCTCACCTGCCAGCCGTACCTGGTAGCTACCTACCTGTGAACTGCAGCTTGAGTTGGGACCCCCTACCCGGTGAGTGGGTCCTAACTCGACAGCCGGCAGCCCAGTAAAGCGCGTGCAGGGATTCTTAAGTGGGATCCTGACCCTCTGCTAAATTGGTGACGCGCGAGTAGGCCTTCCTACCTCAAGTACGCGACTTCCTCCAACGGCATCTAATTTTTAGCCCTTTGTCCTCGACACCAACCTCCCGCCGAGTCGGAGTCGAAGCCTCACGTAACCACTGCCACAAAACATCGTTTCACACCCTTCCAGGGCTCTCGCTCTCCACCACGAAGCGTCGCCGGCCTGCCGACAACCAGGGAGGTTGAGGTTGACAGTTCCCCGTGGTCTGCGCTGCGCAGCTCCTTGCACCTGCACATCTGCTCACTCGCACAAGCCACGCAGAGAGCGATCACTTGCATGCCCACAGCGCTCCATGCTGACGTCCTCTACTCGAAGTCTTGCAAACAATTGACTTCTTTTCTGTGGCCAGCCTGCTACTGACGCCATACACGCTCTCATCTACTGTGCTAGGCTGACACTTGTGTCTGCATTCTGTTCTACACTTTACATTCACTCACCTCGCCGAGACGCCATACGAGCCCCCACCATAGCTGCTCCGTTCTACCTTAGACGACCCTCGAGCCCGCTCCCTTAACCGAATTTCTCTCCTTCAACGCGATGACCGTCACAACCTCGAAACATGGACGACACCAATAGGCTATACGAAGGGATCACGGAGTCCTACCAGGAGTGGATCAACATACCTGAGGAACACCATTTGCTTTGCCCTAAGACGACGAATGATGACGACTTTGATGACTACGTCAGCGACGGGCCCTCGTCTGACATCACTCCCGAGGAGAAGGAGCAGAGAATACAGGAGGGAAGACGTCGCGTCGAGCTCACCTACGACCTCAGTTTGTTACTGGGCATCACAGAGGAACAGTCCAGTGGCTGGAAAGAGCAATGGATCGAGCGCACCGAGTCTTTCTTGACAAAATGTGATGGCTGCGTGTTGCGCTGGCACATGCACCGAAAGAAGTTCTTCGAGAAACTGCAAGGGTAAGTGGCTCCCGACGGGGACGATGGACGATAAGGGCAACATGGGCAAGCACTGACGACGGCCGACAGCTCCTTTGACGAAGACGTTGCCACCATCATGGAAAACAAATTGAACGAGTTCGACAAGGCTCGAATAGACAGGGGTCTCCAGAAAGCAGCCGCTATTCTCGAGGCGAATGGACCAATGAGTTCGGCCAAGATCGCCCAGCAAGATGACACCGCTATTCTGGCTCTATTCGAGGCCCTGTGCTGCATGGCATATGTTGGTGAGCCACAGGTTCGGCAACGCTATTTCAATAAGGTCTTTCAGGATGTTCAGACTCGTAAACCTCTGAAATTGGGATCACAGGTTGTGCCGACTATGGCCTTCTTCCTTTTCGAAGAGGACCAGTATCGCAACCGATTTGCCAAGTCGGCCTGGGAGGTCCTCAATCCCGAATGTCTGACAGAAGAGGAGTTCGACTTCGCGGTCAGTGAATCACTCACAAACGCTATCCGAGAAGTAAGTGCGGTAGACCCAGAAACGGGGACCTTGCGCGTCTCTCAGAACAAGGTCAGAGTCTTTTGGGAAGGCTTTCTCCTTCTCTTGAACTCTATGAGCGAGGAGATCGTGGTGCATTGCCTTCGGGGGATGGACGCAGATGTCTACCAGCTTGCCATTCAACATCTCCAGCTCTGCCATTCGGACGAGATCTTGCTGCTGGTCCTACATGCGATCGCTGCACTTCTACAGAAGTCACCCAAGGCATTTTGGGGCGCGTTAGACCTTCCACGGGCACAGCTCGCCCAGTTTGTGTTCATGAACCCAGCGTTCACGCGGTTGCTCTCACGATCCTTGGAGTATGATAGACTCGTTGCCGACGGGCACATTCGTGTCCCCTTTCTTGCCGTCTGGGTCAGGACTGTTATTGGGTCGCTCCAGCAGCACGAGTTGCCAGACGTGTGCCAGTCTCTCACAGACCACCTCTTCTCTGCCCGTCCTGACTTAGACGCTTCAAGGGAAGCACAGGTGACTCGAACAATCGCTGGCTTGTACGCCTTGAAAACATCGCTCGACAGCTTCAACGGTGGCGCCTTCCAAATCCGAATGGGTACATCCATTATATACATAAATTCCCTTATCAACCTCGTCGTCAAATACGCGGCCAGCGTCATCAATCCTGCCGCAGAACTGCGGGCAGAGGACCGGTTCAATGTAGGGTTATCACAAACGGCCGTCGACGTCATCAAGACATCTCTTGTCCTCGACTCGAAGACGACTCGTACTGAGTGGATGACGCTTATGCGTGGGAATGTCAAGATTCCCAGGACCAACCCAAGACATTCCGCTCAGCTCTGGGACAGATTCCTCGAGATATTCTGGCCCGGCCGGCCTGGCACTGTCGATATCGCGAAGTCGATGTTGTCTGCTATGCATCCGCTCAACGGAATCGGAAAACTCTTGCCCCCAAAGAAAGAGACTATGAAGGACCCCGAGAAGAAACTGTTCAATCAAGATCTGGACCGGACCGCGGAAGCAGTTGGTCGCATGATGGAGCGTCTCAGCGGGTTTGCTCTTACGGATCTGGAAGCGCTTTGCAGCGATTCACAAAGCGGTATGATGTATGCCGTTGTTGCCTCTCTCGTGCACGCTGAGGATCCTATTCGCGAGGCTGGCATCTCCTTGATCAAGACCATCACAAGCGAAGCAACGAGGACGGATGCAGTAGCGCAGATGGCTTCGGACTATTTCCAGCCTTTTCTGTCGACCTTCTCTGACGTCGTCCGGGGTGTCACGTACGACAAAGACTCGATGAAACCTTTTCCGCCGATGCCCCATGTCTTGACTTGCAGCAATGACCTGGTCAATGCCCTTTGTGACACTTCCGGGCTGCTTAGGTCAAGAGCACTCTCAGGCATTGAGTATACTGCCGTCATGTCATGGTGGACAACTCAATGGGAAGGAATGCAACATGCTTTTCTTCAACTTCGAGTCTGGAACGAACAGATGGACAAGTCAATCCTTGAGGCGTTTTGTCGTAAGACTATGGAACTCGCCCAGGCGCTCCTCGACAAGGACGGTGTCGTCGCGTCTGCGCTCGGCGCACAGAGCCCGGAGGCTGAGGCCATGAAGACTGTCTTGGAGCAGCCACGACTCAACACTCGTGGGATAACTAATATGATCAAGCTGCGGGACATCGTTCTATTGGACACAACCGTGCAAACACTGCTCAAGCTTCTTAGTCGCCTGGCTCAGTTCGGGCTTGACTTGGATACACACAGTGCGTCCACTATTCGGCAAGCTTGCATTCCAAAACCAGACGGCAAATTCACTATCAACAGCAACTTGACTCCGACGCAGAAAGTTGAACTTCTGAAGGCGATCGGGGAGGAGGAGGAGACTGTCACCGTCTCGAAGGTCACTGAACGGCCGAAGAAACAGAGCAGTCTCGATGCCTGGTCCAAATCTGGGACCAGCACTCCGCTGTCCCGGTCCGGGAGCACCACGCCTGTTCCCACGAGCCGAGTAGATGTCAAGCCATCCTCAAGCAAGCTCGAAAAATTGCGCTTGACGAGCGAGAAGACCAAGCCAAAGCTGCTGAGACCAGAGCCCGCCAAAGTCAGCAATGCCAAGTTCCTGGAGGACCGAAAGCGGGCACAGGCCGAGAAGGCTGAGCGGAAAGCTGCTGCCATCGCCGAAGCCAAAGCTCTACGGGTGGTACCTGGAGAAGGCTCAGGATTGAGGGGCGTATCAGGAGTTCTAGGCAAAGATCATGGCCCGCAGCCGAAGAGCGACATGATGGTTGACAGCTCGGAAGAAGATGACGACTCATCGGATGATGATGCCCTAATTACCCCCAAAGGTGGCAACAAGCTGGATCATGACGCAAAACAGCGTGCACTTCAGTTGGCAGCCAAGAAGATGGGTCCATTAAAGAAAGAGAAAATGAAGCGAACCGCGAAAGATCTGCGGGCTAGGATCATTCCTCCCATGGACGTTCTGCACCAGTCCATCCTTGAGTGGGATATCTTCCACGAAGGCAATGACCCGCCGAATGGCGATGTGTGCGTCGAGGTTGCGAATACATACATGACTCATCAGGACTACAAGTCGACCTTTTTCCCACTCCTGCGATACGAAGCATGGCGCTCTTTCGTGACAGCCAAAGATGAGACCACGTCGAAGCCGTTTGGTATCAAGGTGATGAACCGCATGACCGTCGACAAGTTTATGGAGGTCACCACTTCGATGCCCAAGGTACAGAACAAGGAGCTGGGGCTGAGCGAGGGAGATATTGTGATAATATCACAGTCAGAGGACCCACTGAACCAAAAGACCGCTGCTCACTGTTTGGCTCGCATATGGAAGATGACATACAAGAAAGACAACCTTGAAGTGGCATATCGCCTCAATGCCAGGGGCAATCAGATCATGCAATTCTTGCAGGCAGGAGCACAGTTCTTTGCTGTCAAGATCACCAACATGACGACGGTCGAGCGTGAATACGCGGCATTGGAGAGCCTGCAATACTACGACCTTTTGGACGAAGTCTTGGAGGGCAAAACCTTCCCCACTCCTCAGTTATGGAGATGAAGCCATCGGGTCGGTGATGAAGACGTACTTCTTGAACCGTGGCCAGGCAAAAGCCATCATGAACGCCAAGGACAACGACGGCTTCACTTTAGTTCAAGGCCCACCAGGAACGGGCAAGACCAAGACCATTGTCGCAATGGTGGGTGCATTGCTCACCGGACACATAAGTACCAAATCTGCTGCTGCCATCCCTGTCAGTCGACCGCATGATTTGGGAACTCAGACAAACCAACCTCCTCCGATGAAGAAATTATTGGTATGCGCTCCCAGCAACGCAGCCGTTGACGAACTAGTTCTACGGTTGAAGCAAGGGGTAAAGACGATGAACGGCGCCCACCACAACATCGGTGTTCTTCGACTAGGCAGGTCTGACGCCATCAACACACTTGTCAAGGACGTGACCCTTGACGAGCTAGTCAAATCCAGGATGGAATCCGAGCTCAACAAGAACGGCCCGGGTGCCAGTGAACGCGAAACAATGCACAAGGAGGCCGGTGAAATCAAAATACGGCTGAACGATCTACGGCCCATGCTCGATGCTGCCAGGGCTAGCAGTGACAGGGAGTCTCAGAGCAACTTGGAACGTGAATTTGATAGGTTGAAGCATCGCCAGCGTCAGATTGGTGCCCAAATTGACCGCGACAAGGACAGTGGCACCACGTTTGTCAGGGAGAGCGAGGTCAGGCGCAGAGTGGTCCAGCAGCAGATTCTGGACTCGGCACAGGTGCTGTGCGCAACACTCAGTGGTAGTGGTCATGAGATGTTCAAGAACCTGAATGTTGAGTTCGAGACAGTCATCATTGATGAGGCCGCGCAGTGTGTGGAGCTCAGCGCTCTCATTCCACTCAAGTATGGATGCACCAAGTGTATCCTCGTCGGAGATCCCAAGCAATTGCCGCCTACCGTCCTCTCTCAATCCGCAGCTCGATTTGGTTATGATCAGAGTTTGTTTGTGCGTATGCAAAGGAATCACCCCAACGACGTCCACCTACTCGATACCCAATACCGAATGCACCCGGAGATCAGTGCATATCCCAGTGCCGAGTTCTACGAGGGCAGACTTTACGATGGAAATGACATGGGGGCCCTCCGCACCCAGAAATGGCACGAGAGCAAATTACTGGGCCCTTACCGATTCTTTGATGTCGAGGGTATCCAAGAGCGCGGCCGCAAAGGCCAATCACTGGTCAACACGAACGAACTCGAGGTTGCCATGCAGCTGTTTTCTCGCTTCAAAATCGATTATGCGGACTGCGACCTCAAAGGGAAAGTTGGCATAATCACCCCGTACAAAGCCCAGCTCTTTGCACTCAGGGACCGTTTCGCCAATCGCTTCGGTGAGGGTGTCTTTGATGAGGTCGAATTCAACACGACCGATGCCTTCCAAGGGCGTGAGTGCGAGATTATCATCTTCTCTTGCGTCCGAGCTAGTCCGACGGGAGGTATTGGTTTCATGACCGATATCAGGCGTATGAACGTTGGCCTGACCCGAGCAAAGTCGTCTCTGTGGATACTTGGAGACTCCAGAGCTTTGGTGCAAGGCGAGTTCTGGGCCAAGCTGATCAAGGATGCCAAAGCGAGAGACCGCTACACTCGGGGTGACGTGTTAGCATTACTGAGGAAGCCGAGCGAGAAGGTATCGCGAATGCAGAATGGCTATGAGGGTCGCAAGAAGTCCGACGTCGAGATGAAGGACGCACCTGCAATGGCGATCAAATCGGAGATGCCATCACGAGGTCCAGCACCGCCACCACAGTCCGTCGGCGGATTTAATGCGAAGGGAGAGAATATCGTCCAGCCGGCGAGGGGAGTGGGCCCTCCCCTGATCGGAGATTCGAAGAAGCGGCCTCTCGAAGGGGGTGACAACCAGTCTCCCGCACCCAAGCGCCAAGTAGGTCATAACCATTCTAACCCAGCATCTTCGACGGATTTGCTTTACCATGCGACCAAGAGGCCTGTGGAAGACGCAGGACAGCAGCAAAGGTTCTCTGAGGAGGATGAATGGGATCGTGAAGACTCCGACTAGCCACTTGATGCTAATTCACAACAAAGCAGAACCATTATTCGGCGACTAACCGGCCAATCCCAACTGGGCCGAGAGCAGCGGCACTACCGCCCGCACCACCAAGACCTAAGCCGCCGCCGCCGAAGCCTGTGGACCCGTCGGCCATGGAGGTATTAGGGCTTGCACCTCCTTCGCGGCCTCCGCCTCCCCCGGCCAACCCTGGGCAGGCAACGAGGCCAACGAGGCCGCCGCCGCCGCCGGCGGGACCGTCGAACGCACCACCGCGGGTGAGTGGCCATGCATGTCAAAACTGCTGTTAGCACTAGGCTAACTTCTCTAGGGACCGCGACCACCAAAAAAGAAGAAAGACCCATTCATTCAGCGAAAGCCGAAGAGGCCTTGATGTTTGTTTTACACTACGTTTTCCCTCCGTCATCTATACCCTTTTACGATTTTGCACTGCATAGGCGTCTGAGAGACAGAAGGTGGCCTGAAAACTTATCTTGACTGTTTTGACGGGCCCGTGGGACCAGCTAAACGATGGAGCATCGTCTACCGGCGTTGATGTTATGGTTTGATAGCTTTGTTTCTGGAGGAGAGCGCCGGCTGTGGGGTCCCTCCGATACAGATCTGAGGGCCTTGTGGATTGGAGCCGGATGACGACCTGGGGAACTGGGGACCTGGGGACCTTAGGATTGGGTAAGGCGGGGTACACTGTAGAAATCAGACAGCAGAGCTCCAGTTCGGGAGCAGATACACACAAAGAGAAGAGGAGGCAGGCTTGCGCAGGTCCGGGGACAGTTGGTGACCAGCCCCTGCGTCGCGTTGCATGGGCATGGACGTGGGCATGGGCATGGGCTCCGCAATCGTATTTTGTGGTGACATTGGAGCTGCTGGTGTTGGTGTTGACGGTGGTGGTGACGGGCGAGGTGTGGTGAGGTTCGTGAGTTTGTGACACGTCGTTCGTCTTGTATAAAAAGACGACACATTGCTGTCCTCCCCCTTGTCCTTTCGAAACGGGCGCCGGGCAGGGCAAGGATGTGTTGCTGGATGGCAGGCGGGATGCAACCTGTCCACCCAGATGGGCCCAGGTGCCAGAATCCTGCCCGGGACCCCAGCCGGCGGAGCAGTCTGGGTCGGCAGTCTGGGTAAGACCGATTGCCAGTTACATCGGAGCGTCACGTCGTCACCGAAGCACCCAAATGTCAAATTCCAGGACGTCAAAGTATCACTGTCACCCGCGTGGCCGGGGCTCCGCCCTTGAGAACTCCACCCGACGGCGTGGCTCTTGATCCTTCATTACAAGTACTCGGTGCCCTCACCAGTGATCAGCAGCCGGGCAGCTTCTGAGGCAGAGCTGCAGCTGTGTCAGGATTGAGTTTTGGCGATTCGTCAGAGGCAGGGATCGGACCACCCAGACACGTCGGTGTGGCATAAGAGGGGCGAGTGCTGTGCGATACGGATGCCTTGTCGTTTTGCCGTCCGAGCGGCGGTGACGACGCGCTCAAGAACCTTGGAAGAGCACGGCGGACAAGACCTGGGGCGCGCACACCAGGCAGCCGGGGCAGCAATGCAATTACTGTGCGACTACTGATCCGTCCAATCGTCGACCTGTCCCGGCACACCCGGCTGGGACTCAAGCTCAGGGAGCAGGCGGGCGGGCATGACGGAGGCAAACCAGTCAACCCAGGACCCTTGGGGAGACGAGGCTTCTTCTGGGCTCCATCACGCTTCTACGCTTGGACGGCTTCGACCCCCGGATGGCGCGCAGCTGAGAGGAGGGTGTGTGTGTGTGTCCCTGTCTCCCCCACTCTCCAATGCGACGGCGCCGTCCTTGCTGCTTAGTCCCAACGGGCATTGCCCCTGAAACATGCTGCAGGGGTGTTTCGACGTCGGCTCCGGTTCGACCTGGTGTGCGCTGTGCACCGCAGCACCTCTTCTTCCTGCTCTTCCTGTCCTCCGCCAGACTCTCAAACGTCGAACGAGCCCGTCGTCAGGTCCAGACCGGACACACTAGCTACAACGGCTGCAGCTAGCCACCACCAATGAGGCCAGCCTCGGTCTGTTCCTGCTCCTGTTCCTGTCCGTGGACTTGAGCTTTGCTTCTCTCAATCCCGTCCGCCTGGAATGCCGTCGGGCGGGACTGGGGAAACAGAGACATGGCATGCGCAAGGTGGTCACGGGAAGAGTCGATTGATTCATCAAGGTGGGGACCTGGTGCGACTCGCCGATGTCATGGGTGCCATGTCCTGCACAACGTCCGTGGAGAACCTTGCGATTTGCGTTTCGCCATCGCCAACGTAGCACACAGACAACACCCAGAGGACCCTTGGCCGTTCACTGGTTTGTTTCCTCCCTCGTTGTTTTAGCTTTGTCCGTTGACACCTTGACGCTTTGGTGCTAAGGTAGATCTCGCTGCCGTCATCTGTGAATCCTACACATGGTCAAGGACTGTTGCGTTCACTTCGTCCTGCCCTCACACGGCCTGCTGCGAGCTTGTCTTGCGCTTAACTTAATCGCTGTCAGGTGCCTCCAAACCTCCAAAATCCTCCTTCCACCCTTTGCCATTGCCTTCGTGGATCGAGGTCGCATTCTCTACTTTCCTTTCTAATCTACGCCAAAGCCGGACGGCGAAACCTAGTCTATCTATCAACGAGATGACTCGAGCTGTCCGCGTCCGCTTCCTCGCTTGATTTCCCCCGCGGACCTCTTTTCCTCTCTCCCTTCATCTGCCTCTGTCCCGGCGTAGACCGCCTCCTTCTTCGCCTGGCACACGTCTGACGCAGCGTCGCAACTAAGACTATTTGTGTCCACCATTCTGCAAGTTAGCGCCAAGGGAGAACCTTCAAGTCGGCAGCCACGTGCCCGTCGGGGCTTCAGTGAGGATCGCTGCCTGTCAACACGGGACGAAACTCTAAACCTGTGCCATCTTTGATACCCCGAGTTTCGTTTCACAGGTAGCACCGGGAGCTTACTATCCCTCCTCTGTCTGGAGTTATGCCTCCGTCCTGACCCGTCTCAAAGCCATGTACATATACGACCTGGACGCGCATGGCCACACCGCCACTGCCGAGGACAGGCGCATGTCCTTCAGCTCACTGGACTCGGACGAGAACTCGTTTGCTACAGCAGCAGAGTCGCGAACCAACAGCGGCTTGGGCGTCGCCAACAGCGGCCTCAGCAACGCCCGCCCCATGACTTCCTCTCAGCTCACTCCTGCCACGGCCCTGAGCTCAAACTGGCCTGGCGGCATCCTCCGCCGTATCGACATCCGTGTCGAGTCCAAGGAGCTACTCGAGCCTCGGAGTGACGCGGCTGCTCGGCCCCAGTCACGCCCCTCCCCCCGCGGGGTCGCAGGAGATCGCAGACGGACTTCTGAGGGCGAGGATGAGGCCTGGGACGAGGTGGCTGCGTTCCTGCGGAATGTGACGCCGCCGCCGTCCAACTTCATGTCTGTGCCTACAGAACCATACTCGCCGACGACCGTCTCTTCAAGGTCGAGTATCCGGCGGAGGACGAGCAAGAAGAAGAAAGGGGCCCTGCGACGTTGCATCTCTTTTTTGAGGGGGGCTTCCCGGCAGAAGAAGGTTTTGCGGAAGCCGTCTGTCAGGCCAGCGTCGCCGACTCTCACCCGTTCTCCAGCTCGCAGACACAAGAAGCGCCCTCCACGCATCACACTCCCGGACACCGCCATCTCGGGCAGGACCGTTGACGGGCATCGACACATTGCCATTTCTATCCCTATTGAGCATGCCCACCTAGGCCCAGAGCCGCGGCTCAGGTTTCCCAGGGCCGAGAGGAGGACGAGATCAATGCCCGTGGTAGAGATGAATCCTGCCGTCTACAGCGATGTCAATGTCAGACCAATGACTGCCTTTGTCAACGAGCCACACATAGGGACGCAATTGGGACCTGTGGCTGAAGAGCGAGAGTCGCTGTCGTCGAGGTCGTGGGAGAGGTCGAGCTCAGGAGGCCTCGACGAAGCGCGCAAGGTCCGACTGGCATCGAGACATACGTTTGGCACAGTTCAGGAAGAGCTCAGCAGGCCCAACACAAGCTCCATTTCACCACCAAAAACTCCGAGACGCATCAGCGACGACTCATGGTCACCACGCACCAGTGACGAGACGCGTGAATCAATGCATAGACAGGCGCTCGCCGCCCTACAGAGGCCTAGAACAGCCCCAAGGCCCGTCAGTGGCCAGTCCGGCTACAGTTTTCGCTCATTTACATCGGCGTCGCCGGCTTCCAAGGTGTCGTATCCGATGCGAAAATCCAGCCTCCACCCTCAAGGTTCCGAAAACAGGCGGTCGCGAGCACGCAGTGATTCTGGCCAGCGCGCTCATAACGAGCACAGCCGTGATTCCTCGAGGGACCAGTACACGCTCCAAGAGTCCATCTTCTCGGAGCCTTCGTTCCTGGAGAGTTATGGCACGATGGCGAGCGGCTCGGAGGTCGAGCTGGGCGTCATCAAAGAGGCGAAGCGTGCGAAGCGATTCTCTGGTACGGCAGAAATCGTGGATACGCCACCGAGAACGAGTCTCGAGGCGGGGGAGGTGAGTGGCAGGGAAAACGCGAGGGCAAGTGTGAAGGAAAAGAAGCGGAGCAGCGGTCACGACAGCAAACGGTCGAGTGGGCACAGCAAGAGGAGCAGCAAGCGAAGCAGCAAGAGGAGTAGTGGTACAATCGAGGAGGAAGAGTCATTTGTGGAGAAGACCAGAGACTCGACAGCTACAGTGCTGTTCAACCCGGAGGTCAAGAAAGTTGACGAGAGTATTACGAGGCAGCCGCAGTCGCGGAAGTCTGTGGAGATCGTGGTCGAGACCCCGACCGACACCGTATTTCCACGCGAGGAGCCCGAGACCAAAGATGAGGAAACCGTACAAGCTCAGAAGGCGTCATCCGAGGGATTGGAACAGGAACGTGAAGTCAAAGGCAAAGAGAGACAGCAGAGGCTTCAGCAAAGCCCAATCTTCGACGTGCCTGTGCAGGAGAAAGAATCGAAAGGCAAAGGCAAGGAGAAGGCGGTCAGCCCTGTGCTGGAGGCCGTAGAGGATGATGACGAACGCAAGCCCAAGGCAAAGGCACAGAACGAGGAGACCGCCCAGAGTCCGTTGCCGAGCCCCAAGCAGCGGAAAGAGAGGAGGAAGTCAACAATCCTGACTAGGTCGCAGCGGATTGCTGAGTTGAAGAAGGCCCTGGATATGCCTGGCTCGGAGCCCAAGGATTTGGTGTGGCGGCGGCTCAGTGTCTCGTCTGATGGAAGCTCCAACTCGACGGAGAAGGAGGCCAAGGCCGAGCCAAAGGACATCTTGGTTCACGTTCCTGTTGTTCCGGAGAACAACCCCTACAGTCTGAAGACGACACCGGGCCGCTTTGGTATCAGCGCTGTCATGACTGTTGCGGATGTCAAACCGTCCAGTCCGCTTACGGCGTCTCCCGTGCTGGGGATTGAGAAGAAGAACTCCCTACCGCTCTCGGTTTCGTCCCCGGGAACCGTGGCTACTGTCGTCATGACCTCGCCTGTGCCGCCATTCCGAAGCCTCGGCAGCGTCACGCCGCCAGACTCGCCTCCGCAATCGCGTTCGTCTTCGTCGCCAATCTCATCGCTCGAGACACAGACGCAGGCCACGGCACTCAAGCACCCACCTCTCAAGCGGCTCAGCTCTCTGCGCCGACGCCCTTCTGTTCCCGGGCGACAATCGCCAGCCCTGTCTGGCAGGATATCACCGATCATGCAGGAGAGCACGCCCAGGCCCAAGACGGCGGGCAAGGGCGTCCTGGCCTCTAGGAAGGACTTCTACGGAGGGCGGCAAACTCCTGAATCTCCTGAGCAGGACCGGGTTGAGGCCAGTACCTCTGTTTTGAAGATGTCACGCTCTGAGATCTTCGACCGGTACGAAGCACTACGCGAGAAGCAGGCTCGAGATATGGAGAAGAGGCTCGAGAGGCTGGAGAGGAGTGGTGACTACTGGCTGACGTCGATGCTTCCTCTGCTGAAGGACTTGAGCCAGACGCTAGGAGACCTTGCTAAGGGCAAGGGAAAGGAGGCTGATCAGGAGGCTGAAGCCCCGAGTATCAGGACCACGAGAAGACCGGAGACGAGCTATCACAACGATGGCAGGCGGAGCCGGTTTGGCGGCAGATTCGACGAGGAAGACGGCGGACCAAGCACGCGCAGAAGGTACATAGCCGGAGACGACTCTTTCGAAAGTGACGAGGAAATCATGCGCCACCCGTATGTGCCTACAGACCGTTCAAGGGCCAACACCGGCGTCTCCGAACGATCCCGCCGACTTTACCTTCTCGATGAGCATCCCGACCTCGGGCGCCGTGTCGACGACTACGACCATGCCGCCGACCAGCGCCGCACCCGCAGCCACAGCCGCCACCGTCGATCACAGACAGCAGACGGGCAGAAGCCAACGCGCCCGGGGACGCTGTCCGGGACCACGACCATGATCGACAGCAGCGGAGCCCGGACGAGCTCGATGGGCACCGTGTCCAGGACGGCCGCCAACACCAGCGCCAACACCGCCAACACCGCACCGGGCCCACAGCGCCTGCAGGACGAGGTCGAGGCGGAGCTGGAGCGCATCAAGCGAATGGAGCGGCTCAACGAGCGCATCGACTCGCACATGCGCGGGCTCTCGCGCGAGCTGAGCCAGCGGCGCCGCCACGGGTGGTCGCCGCCGCAGCAGTCGTCGTCCTCCCGCGCCGCGCGACGCGGCGGCCTAACCAGGTACGAGAGCCGGAGCGAGGCCAGCCTGGCGACGTACGCGGCGCCGGACGAGAGCGGCGGACGGGCCTACTACAGCGGGATGCACACCGTCGAGCCGCTCATGCGGGAGCTGCAGTTCGGCGGCAGCCGGCTCAGCCTCGAGAGCTCCGGGTCCGTCGGCTTCGAGGGGGACAGCGAGGTCCAGCGCCTGAGGGAGGGCCCGCGGGCCGTGATTGGGTTTGGGGCCTTTGGTGGGCGTGGGCTTTGAGTGGCGCGTATCATGCATGCTGGCTCCGGCGGGAGGATAGTGGCAACCGATAATTTGTAATGTATACTAGTACGATTTATTATCGTGGTTGCTTTTGGTTTTTTGAAGGGCTGGCCGTCGTTGCTGCGTGTTGTGGTGTGGTGACTTGACTCGTCCTGGGCTTGACAACTCGAGCCTAATAGACTGTTCAACACCATCTGTGGGGAATATCAACTCATCCGAAGTGCCACCATGTGACGCACAATGGAGAGGACTACGTTCTTTGTGGGAGATCAATGTCCACCCGTTTCATTCCCGGTGTACTCCTAGTCCATTTCACACTAATCCGAGTCCCTGAACATCATCTCAGCTTACTTCTGAGCCTCAACCTTCGCATGCCACGACGCAAACCCTTCAGCGTCCATTCTTGACGAGCCGCCTGCATGCTCCAGGCTTCCTTCCCTTGGGCTCCAGAACGTACGGGACGTCGTGCTCCTTGGTCGAGTTCCAGAAATCAATCTCGGCCTCCCAGCCGACCGGGGATGAATCGCGGTCCTGCTGCTGGGGCAGACAGGCCCACCACTTGTCGAAGAACCCCGAGAGCGTGTCGGGTGAGCCATCGGCAAAGCCCATGTCCCAGTTGGGGAAGCCAACGTACGTCAGGGTGACCGTGTCGAGCCCATGCCGGGCAGGCCGGTACGGGAAGACCAGCACCTCACGGCTCCTGGCCACCACAGTGTCCCCAAGCCGCTCGCTCATGAACACCGTGTGTCCCGGAACCAGCCACTTGTCTCTCGCCATGGAGAGCCTGGCACGGCTGGAGTCTTCGTACCACTCAAGATGTCTGACCCTCAGGCCCAGCTTCAGAGGAACGTAGTTCCTGAAGACCAAGGCTCTCGAGGCCCGGTCGACCAGCAGGGCGACTCTGATGGCATCATGGGTTGGGGGCCATGCGGACACGGTGTAGCCGCGGATACGACCTCTGTACAGATGACCAGGGATATCCATCGAGGCTTTTTTCAACTCGATGGCGCGGGACCGGTTTGGGAGCGTGTGTTCCCAGATCATGAATCTCAGCTCCAAGGGGAGCTTCGAGTAGGAGTGGAAGGTCGTCGGGGCTTTGTGCGGCTGGACTGGTTGGCTGTGTTGGATTAATTTGTTAGCTGCACAGTGTGGTCCGCAGTATACACTGTTGACTTGGTGGATGGTGGCAGGCTGGATGGGGACGTCATACTGGCTTTTGTTCCCGTGGTCCTGGTGCTTCTTGATGAAGCCGTCGCTCTGCTTGGTATCTGCCGGACGCCGTGAGGGTGTCACGCGCAGTTTCGAGAGTACGTAGCCCATGGCGTTGATGTGGTGGCTCCGTTGGAGTCAGGTGGAAGTAGAGCCACGATAAAATCTTGGTGTTTTCCGCGTGAGTAAGATGGAAAGAATGAACCCTAATGCAAAGGGACCCCGAATACATTGGCTTGCACTTATAGACCACATACCAGGAAGTCTAAGGCCAACATCCATTCGATCAAAGGAAATACACCTTGACACTGTGTTGCCTGGCTCTATGGCATGTTTACGGAGGCGAAGGAGGGCTTCTCCTGCATGCTTCACTGCGAGGATGAATACAGATTCCTGAACTCTTTCCCACCTGGTGGCAGCCTGGAAGAGTTCTCAAAAGACAGGCACTGTTGCATCAAAGTGTTCAGTTCCAAACTACTTGTCCGAGGATTGCGCAGCCAATATGAATGAAGGGAACAATCCCGCAAGGTCTCTCTTACACTCAGTAGATGGAGTATATTGACCTTCACTCCATAGCTATATTCAAGTATCAGGCCGTCAAATCGACCGTTGTAAGAGCAACCCGTAGGCATGGCACACCTTGTTTTCTCCGGCAGAAGCAATCCATCTGTAGATGCTATCCCATGGGAACTTTTTGTTTCATCACTTGATACGGCCTGAGGGTCAAGACTTCTGCCAACGTCATCTCCTTCGACTCCACTTGGAAGAAGATCCATGCGTTTGTATGGCAATCGCTCTTCCAACACTGTGCAAGGTGATAGAGAAAAATACTTCAGTCTTAGAGGTTCGAGACTCAAGTCTACCGAATTTCGGATAGAGGCACCGGGGTTCTGAGAGGATTCGGATACACGAACCAGAAGAAGACAGAGAGAAAGAAAAAGACAAAAAAGAAAGAAAAAGAGAGAAACTCGGGCTTGCCGTGCATGGTGGAATCTGCGCCCCTGACGCAAATATTGTCTTCAGCTTGGCCCGCCAAACCCCGCGATCCGGACGGCAGCGCCGCGGAGACATCAAGAGCTTGTCTCTTCCGGCAGGGCCCGACCCTGAGCCCTTGGCCTGTTGTCTCGATTCAGAAGTCTCTATCAAAACGTGGTTCCAGGTTTTGCAGCTCGAGGATGGTCTCCCTTCTGTCCTTCTCGCATTTTTGAGGCACAATTAGTCACCTCCGGAGTAAGACTGCAGTACTGTGTCGTTCGGTTAGTAAAATTATAATTTGTTTGTCCGAATGGATCTGTTTCGTTGTCATAACGGAATGAGCCACATCGTTCAATAGCCAAGGTCATCAATCTAGAGTGTTCTTGAGGTCTTCGCCAAGATTAAAGTTCAGGGGATCATCCGATATACCACGTCGAGAAGACCCCTGGATCCCTGACGGCGATCCAAGACAAGTTCGGCATGACGTCGATCATTGGAGCACATATCCCTGAGCTCGACACAGCCCAGCCAAGACTTGCACGATGATGCGTAGATGCACCCATCCAACCCACACCTTCATGGAGACTGCATCCAGCTAGTGCTGGCTCACAAGCCTAGGATAGCCCATCGCGTTGTTGGCTCAACCAGCCCTAGTGCAACACGAGCGTGGCATTAGCCGGTGTCGACCTCCTCGACGACCGAGAGCTCCTACGCCAGTTCCCGTGAGCATCCTCGTGTGAAATAAGAATGTCACAATGTCTCGTCCATGGATCTTCGTATGCCCATCCAGCCGCGGGCTAGGCCACGTCCTCACTAGACATCTACTGCGGAACACAACCGTTCCCATCCTGGCGACAGCGCGCAGCGACCCGTCGGGCGTGAGGAACCGCCTGCTGGACGACATCCAGCACGACAGGGAGGCGGCGGCGCGGCTGCACGTGGTCCAGCTAGACGTGACAGATGAGCCCATGGTCGAGGCGGCCTCGCACGAGGCGGCGAGGCTGTTCCCCCGCGACACACACCACCTGCACCTGGGCCTCGCCATTCCGGGAATCCTGCACCCTGAGAAATCACCACGGCAGGTGGACGTAGCCGCCGCGCTGGAGACATACCGCGTCAACGCTCTCGGCCCTCTGCTGCTGATGAAGTGGTTCGAGGAGTTTCTCCCGCGCAGGCGCACACAGTTCGAGCTAGGCGGGCAGGGTACTGTCCGCCTTCCCGAGCATGCCGTCTGGCTGAATATGAGTGCTCGCGTAGGCAGCATCTCGGACAATAGAAAAGGAGGATGGTACAGCTACAGAAGCAAGGCCGCCGTCAACAGCCTCACCAAGAGCTTCGACCTGCAGTTGGCCGCAAGGAGTGGTGATAAGGCTATGGCTATGGCTTATCACCCCGGCACGGTCAGAACGGACCTGAGCCGTGACTTCTGGGAGACAGTGTCCAAGGGGAAGCTGTTTGAGCCCGAGTTCGCCGCGGAGGAGATGGTCGAGGTCGTCACGGGAAAGGTGGGACTCGACGGGAGAGGAAGGTGTTGGGACTGGAGGGGAGAGGAGATCCTGCCCTGAGCCGGTCTGCTTGGGTGCCATAAGTAGCGGGTGGACGTCGCACTCGTCGCAGGTGATGATAGTCGGATAACGAAGGCGGTGAAACGTCTTCGAATTCATTATGATATTTGTCACCGTTTCAGCGTGAATATCTAACCTGAGGTCAGATTCGACAGACGTCAAGAAACATTAACACCATAGCCAGCAAGGTGTGACTTGCTCATTTCTGCCCCCAGCTCCAAAGAGAACGAGGCGCTTACAACTGTACGTCCTGGAACGATGCGCGACTGGCTGGGGTCTGAGCCCCTGCGTCTTTCTCATCGGCATCTTCCACGGTCGCAAACTTCGATGCCTCTGGCCGCAACGTCAAGTTCTGCTCCTTGTCTTCGAACCTGACCTTCTGCTCGCCCTCTTCTGTTGCTTTTGTCTTCTCTTCCGGCTCGTCGTCGTCTTCCTCGTTCTCCTCATTTCCGCCTTCCACGGCTTCCTCCTTATCCTGGGCCCCATTTGCCTCTGTGGGCTCCTCTTTCTCGTTTTCCTCCTTGCTACCTTCCTCTCCATTCTCTGCCGAGGGTGCGGCTGGCAACTCCTTCTCCGTCTGCACTGAAGCTGGTGCGGCGGCAGGAGCAGCAGGAGGGGGCTGCTGCTGTTGCTGCTGCTGAGTGACTGTGCCAGCCGTCCCAGGCCGGTCCTCACTTGGTGGGCCCGGTCTCAACGCATCCAGGTAGAATTTAGTGACACCCAAGATCCTACCGTTCCTCTCGCAAGCCTCTACCCACTCTGGCCGCACCACGGGAATATTCATCTCCACAGCCTTCTCCCACTGAATGCCCCGTCCCTCGGTGGTGACAAAGTGTGTTGTGTCTATCCTCACGCTGTCCACAATCTTGGCGCCAATCCTCTCCACTGCTTCTGCCAGCTCCTCTCGCATGGACTGCGGCAGGATGCCGGTCGTGATGGTGATACCACTGAGATCTGTCATCTTGTGCGTCTGAACCTCGACCTTTTCACTGCTGTACGTGCCAGCCGTCGTTCTGAGGACCAGGTGGAAGGTGTAATTGGTGTCCACGGCCAGACCCGAGATCTTGGTCGTGTGCATCTGTAGCGGGCGGGGGATGTTGCCAGCCTTCTGGCCGTTGCGGTACAGGGCAAGGCTGATGAGATCCGCGGTCGCGAGCTGGATAGGATCCCATTCTAGCACGACTGAGGTCTGGGTAGCATTACGGCAGCGAAGTATCGGGCTGGAGGGCGAGGCGGCCCCAAAAGAGCCATAGATCTGGTCCTGGAGCGCCTGGAAGCGCTGCTCGGCGGAGGATTCGGAGGAGAGATTGCGCGCGACTGTGATGTCGACGATGGAGCCAGAAGAGATGTCTGGTGGGAGGAGGATAGAGGGGAACTCGATCTGCGGGAGGACACTGGTAAGCTTGGACTGCCCGACTTCGAAGTGACGGCTGCTGCGCAAGGGTACGGAGCGCTGCCAACAAGCTACCCATGTAGACTTACGAGTCGTTTATCTGGGGTCAGGAGGACAGTGACGCCGGCGTCGACCTTGCCGACGGTCAGGGAGACAAGCATCTTGGCCCGTCGATCTTGGATCGCCTCTTGTAGCCCGAGGCGAAGTTGCCGAAATAGTCGAGGATTGGTCTGGTCGGCAGTGGCTGGGGATGGAGAGTCAGAATTGGATGGGCTTCTCAATCAAGGTTTGGAAAGCTGTTGCGCTGGCAGTTGGTGCCGGTCGCGTTGCTTGTGAAACCAGGACCTGCAAGCAGGCCAGCTGTAGGCTTATGTAAGCCAAGCTGAGATGAACGGGGAGCTTTGCCGTGGTCGGCTTATAGTTGAACGGTTCACTCGAGCAATCAATACAAGACAAGCCGATGCCGAAAGGGGCTGTGTTGGCTAAGACGATGTTGAATTGCATGAGAGTCCTGGGTCCACCTGAGCGCATAGACACTCCAACTTGGTCAGTCTGGTTCGCTATCCGCACAAGCCGTGCCTTCCTTACAGTCTAGCTTTTGACGATGATCACCATTTTGGGAAATGACCAACTGGTATAGCTCCTGCCCAGTAGGCTAAGCTTTCGGGCCCATCATGCCTCATATGTCCAGCCCAAACACGGTGGCTGGGTACATCTTCACCAGGTTCTAGATAGCTGGCTACAATGCCTCCTTTCAGGGGTTTATCCTCGTCCGAACTGCAGTCCGTAGATGGAGGAGGATGGGGCTCAGACTTGTAAGCATATACAAAGCACATACGCCTCACTGCAAGCCAGTCATCAGGACAGCTGAGGTGAGCTTTGCCACGGCGTACACGATCAGGGATCGTTGCAATTGAAGCGTCAACGGAGACACTCAGTAAATGTTTCTGAAATACCCTAGATGTCGCGTCAGAGCTGCCTTCTGAGACTACCATTTGGACCTTTGTCCGGCCTTTTTCGCCTGGCCCCCTCTGCCTCCCCTAACTGATCCGCCGCCTCTGTTGCCGCCGCTCGAGCGACCTCGATCCTGTTGACGTAGGCCCGGTCCTGCTTTGGTTTCTCTGCCGGAGCCCCCAGGACGTTGGCCAAGGGCTTGCTCCACGGCCTTGACGACACCTTCGCAGTAGACCTGCAGGTCCTTGAATGGCACTTTGTGGACTTCAGCCGGCGCGTGGATTTTGATGACCACAGTTCCGAACAAGTGCGTGATTGCCTTATCCCCAGACCGATGGCCGTTCTGTTGATCTGGCAGCCTTTTCCCTTGTGTGTCATACCCGGCGTTGTGCAGCGCATGTCTGAAGGCGACGTTGATGCGAGCGACGGCCTTGTTGCGGACAACGGGCGTGTTCGACGACCCAATAGTCTCAGTTCTCCACCAGAGGGGCTTCACATTGTCTGCTACATATCTCCTGCAGACAGCCTCTGCGTACGGCAGCCCCTGGTTTGTGAAGTATCTCAGATCAGACCACTGTAAGGTGTGTCGGCCGGCAACATCGACCGACATGTTCTTCCAGCGCATCTTCTTGACCGTCTTGAGCTCACCGTAGAGCCCAATGTTGTGCTGCATCAGCCCTACGATGCGATCTCTGCCGTCCCATGTGTACGCTTCTCTGTTCTCAGCCTGGGGTGGAATCCGAGAAGCCATCGAGGAGAATGGCTTAAGTCCTCTGCTGCCGCGGCAGTCATGAGAGATTTGCCATGTTGCACTGAAGTACCTCCCTCTTGGCCCGAGGAGGATGCGGCAATTGGACATGACTCTCAAGGGCAGCTGTCATGTCATCCTGATCAAGACGTGAGGCCGACTACTCGTACTTCATGTTAATCTCTGACCACTCTGCGCACAGCCACACCCTCCAGGATGACTCACGATAAGAGCCCGCGAGAGGTTGCTGGGCCAAAATTTAGCGAGTCCTTACTCACGTCCCAAGAGACTGCGAGTTTTCCTGAAGCGATGAGTAAAAATGATGCAGTGAGCCGGGCGAAGACGGTGAAGAACCTCTCCAGGCTCACTCAGTATGGTATCACAGGTATGCAATTGAACGACGCGGCAGGCTCGGTAGAGTGTTAGTGCCCTGTTCTAATTCGGGACCCACAGTTCTAGGCCCACAGTGACTCCCTAGCGCCTGGATTCGCCCCGCGGTGAAAGCCCACAAGCACAAAAGGACCCCGCCAACACAAACCCGTTGCCCGTTACTCGCCGCTACTCCTTCTTCCTGCATTTCACCACAGCCCAGACAACCTCTTCTTGTCCACCTACTCCCTGTCCGCACAAGAAACAAGTGCAGGCCATCCCCCACTCGTGGATAATACCTTTAATAAGCCGACAGGATGCCCAAGAACAAGGGAAAAGGAGGCAAGAACCGAAGACGTGGAAAGAACGAAAACGACAATGAGAAGCGAGAACTCACCTTCAAGGAGGAGGGCCAGGAGTACGCACAGGTCGTGAAGATGCTTGGGTATGTCAGCCACCGCTACATCCCTGGCGCCCAAGTCCGGGACAAAACAGCCAGACGTTGCTCCCGCGGCGCGGCGCGGCTGCCTTCCCTCAACAAGACGCCGTTGGCGATGTACATGTGCTGACGACTCTTTTAGAAACGGCCGCCTGGAGGCGCAATGCTTCGACGGCACCCGCAGACTCGGCAACATCCGCGGCAAGCTTCGCAAGAAGGTCTGGATCAACCAGGGCGACATCATCCTGCTGTCGCTGCGTGACTACCAGGACGACAAGGGTGACGTGATGTACGTTGCAGGCCCCCTCCCACCCTTTCCAAAGTACAACACAAGCTGACCGGCGTGAACTCCCATGTAGCCTCAAGTACACAGCCGACGAGGCCCGTTCGCTCAAGGCCTACGGCGAGCTCCCCGAGACCGCCAAGATCAACGAGACGGACAACTTCGGCGGCGGCGAGGACGGCGACTGTGGCTTCGAGTTCGACGAGGACCGCGACTCGGACAGCGGTGACGAGGGCGGCGCCGGCGGCAAGGAGGTGGACATCGACGACATCTAAGGAACCCCCACCAACTCCATGGCAAGATAAAAAACGGCGTTTCGTGGCTGTCTGTCTCTCTGTCGGGCATGCCACGAAGCTGCGACCCCGGGTCTTCCGGTGTGGCAGCCCCGAAACGTCAGGGTGTGTCCAGACAGATGTGCCTTTGGCCGGAAGGGGTGCGCGAGCGAACCGTCGTCGAGCGGCGGCGGGGAGCAGAACTGTCTTCTCTCTCTTAGACCTGGGGGTTTGTGGTGGCGGCAGCATGCCGCCGCTTGCCCCTGGTTTCTCGACAGTTGAGTTTGGGACGGCTGGGATGGGAGGGACGTCCTGTGTCGGCAATCGATTTGTTCTTTTCCTAACTTTCTTGATGATAAATGCTCGAGCTGTTTCAAGGGAGAACCAAAAAGTGCACCGTGTGATGTATCTCTTGACGTGGACCGGGGGTGTAGCATAATGATTGGAGTACGAATGCATGGATCAACCAGTCTGGTTCACAAGAATTCCTACATAGACCGGCTGTCATCACAATAACTCCCATGTCTTCCGGTATTTCTCTTGCGGCTTTTAATCATTTTGTATTGTCTCAATCTTAATCTCTGCCCTGGTATGGGCCGGGACGGCTGCTTTGGGCATTCCATACCAGCGTGCGGTGGTGACCTCCGTTCCACAGAACGTCAGTGCTCTCGTCTCTTCCAAAACAGTACGGCCCATCATGAATGCTCCCGCCTGAGCAATGATGGCCGACACGAAGATAAAATGCTGCGTAAAGTTGCTAGCTCGTCATCAACCCGAGTTGCGAAAGGCGAGACACAATGTTAAAATTGCCCGGACTGTGTCCAAGTGCGATACGCTGACAGGGAAGCTATTCTATATTCCTCCTCTTCCACTGATCCTAAGATCGTGAGTCTAGTCCCAGTCGTCGTTATCATCTTCGTCATCTGAAAGCTTGTTAGTGTGTTGCCCACGTCTTGTCCGCGGATGATAACTTACCACTATGCGCAACCTTCTTGTTTCTCGCCGCAAGGGCCGCCGCCAAAGCATCGGCCATACCGCCGCCGCCGGCTGGTGCGACCCCTGATGGCGGTAAACCACTTCCATGTGGGCCTGTATCGCTGCCACCTCCAACCTGCGCACTACTTCTGTCACGAATCTGACTCCTGTCGACCTTTTTCAGAGCACCGATACCGCCGGCCTTCTGTATACCGTCCAGCATAGCAGCACGGCCGGGATCGGCACCCGCCGCTGCTGGAACACCGGATGAGTATCCTGAGTCGCGATTTGGAGGCGGCGGGGGCCCAGGCGGCGGGGGTGGTCCAGGCGGCGGGTGTGGTCCAGGCGGGGGAGGCGGGCCGGGTGGTGGAGGAACGCCGGCCATCCCACCAGGTGGTGGCGGCGGTGGAGGAGGAATTCCGCTTGGCGCGCCAGTTGGAGGAGGAGGAGGCGGCGGCGGAGGCCCACTCGAGGATGGTGGTGGCAGAGGAGGGGCGGCCGCCGGGGCGTTGGTTGGAGGTAATGGAGGTGGTGGAGGCGCATTTGCTGCTGGCACGGGCGGTGGAGGTGGCGCAGAGGCTGCTGGCGGCGGCGGTGCTGGGGGAGCGCTGGAGGCTGGTAATGGAGGAGGTCCTGCCGGGCTTCTCGCCGGTAGACCCGGCACCGGTCGGGAGGTTGGAGGAGGAAGAGGCGGCGCGGCCGATCCAGGGGTTTTCGGGGGGAGTGGTGGCGGAGGACCTGGCGGGACAGCGCTCGTCTCTCGCGACGGAGGCGGAGGAGGCACGGCGCCACGACTTTGTGGTGGAGGAGGGACGCTCCTTTGGCCCTGGAACGCCGGAGGGACGCCGAATTTGTGGCCTGGTTCTTTGGTGTCTTCGACAGGAGACTTTCCGGGCCGTGGGGGAGGGGGAGGGCCGGGAGCGGGAGCCTTGGCTGTCTCGGCGCGCGCGAGCTTCCCGGCATCAGGAAGCGGAGGTGGAACCTGGAATCTGGGCCTTGGGGGAGACGGGTCGCGAGGAGGCGTCGGCTCCCTGGCGACGGCGGCCGGCTCGGCCTTCCCAGACCTTCTTGGTGCGGGAGGGGGTGGTGGAGCGCCGCCTCGTCGCGGTGCCGGGGGAGGGGGGAGGAGCCCTAGAGCCGGTCCCGTTGACTGGAGGTGGTGGCGGTGGGGGAGTCGAATGCTTCGTTTGAGCCTGCTCCTGCTTGAGAAAATCGACGATGAAGTCCTGATTGTCCTTTATGAAGTCATCTGTAAGGCCTTTACTTCTCAGGTCGTCGCCGAAGTGCTCTCTCCATTCGGGGTCAAATGCCTCGAGGGTCGCGAATTCGGACCTGTGTCCATTGCTCCCAGATGATTGTCTGTGGAAGTGGCCAATTGGGGGGGCGCTGTTGCGAGGAGAGTCGGGCGGCGTTGGTGCAGAGGCGTGCCTATGTCCTCCGAAGATGCCACCTAACAAGCTGTGTTTGTGGTGACCGGCTGCTGCTCCTGGGGCCACTCCTCCGAATGGCGTTGACTTGGTGGCCTTGCTCGCGTTCTTTTCCCTGTCGTTCATCTTCTTTAGGAATTGCTTCGCTTCCTTCTCGTCAACGAAAGACAGAGCGGCCACACAGTCTTCTAGCTCGAAGGAGTGGAAGAATGTTCGGTCTTGGTTGTAGCTCCATGTGTCGAATATCTCCTGATCCCATACCACCCCTCGCATTGCAGGCTGCGCGCGGCTAGTCAGCTGGCGCCTCGGACGAGTTTGACATGCAGCTGGGCAGACTTACGGATATGTCAACCATCTTGAGCCAATATGTGTTCCCAACAAGGTCGTTGGAAAGCACGACAGCGCCTTGCAAGCCCGTATATGTCCATTTTGATCTGTTTGGGTAAGCAACGTAGAGTCGGGCTACAGCCACGGCCTGGATCTTATTGCTCTGCTTGGGGACGAAGCGCTTGACGGTCTCCTTGTCGGCCTCGCTGAGGATGGACGGCATCGTGGTATCGCAGTCCGGGGTGGAGGGGCAGCGCGAGGCTGGGGGTTCGGTCGTCGAGGAGGACAGAGAGGAGGCGGAGGTTGGGCGGGATTCGGGGTCTCTCCTCCCAGTAGCCTTGTCTCGATGACCCCTAAGCTAATTCATGGAGTGAGTTAGATGGACTGAACAGCGTTATGTCGCTGCCTGTTGTGAGGTGTGGCAGTCGCGGCAGTGGGACTGGGACTGGTAACGGCGATGGTAATGGCAATGGTAAAAGAAGTAAAGTGGTGTCGTGTGAGTTTAGAACTGTTGCACACTACCAAGCTGCGAGGTGGTGTTTCCAATCCAGGGAACGCTTGGCTTGGCTCGGATGACTGGCAGCGCCCACTTGGATTATGTCGCAGGTACGGCAACTTTGGCAAATCGGATGAAGGTTGGTGGGTGGCTTACTGTACGCGCGTATCAAGGCAATAGTAGTGGTAAACGGAGAGTGAGGGTTCTTGGGATTAGGTAGGATTTGGGTGCTAAGTGGCAAGCGCAAGGCCGACGTAGCTAGACCAAACGGTAGACCGTTGGACCGGATCTTGGCAGGAAGACTGACAAGTGCCAACGCCTGGGCTGACCGGGCAATTAAAGCTCGAGACAAGGGCGGGACAGGAGACGTAGGCCTCATCAAGAGATCGTCGCCGGACAGGTCGGTAACAGGCGGGGAATGATCCGAGAGAGGTGAGGTTGGCCTCGAGGGAGTGCCAATTTACAGAGGGCGACAAGCGAAGTGGCAGGGCAGCCTCCACGCCCAAGGTGCGGGTGCTAGGTGCTTGTGCTTGCAGCTTCTGGGAGCCCGACCGACCGTACTGGCGTATTGCGTATTGAGAGCTCCCCGGGCGCGGGAGGACGTTTCATGACACCTGTTGCATCATCGCCCTCTTAGGAGGACCTACCCGTTACATGAATATCAGACGAGGGAAGCGGACCCCATTTCATGCTGTCCTGAGCAATTGGTTGCGAGCACAGCCACAGCCCAGGCTCATTGCTGATCCTGTTGCTGCCGTCGCCGGGTGTCGCTAATATGCAGCCCGAGCCGCATACCGACTGCACCTGAATGGATCTTATATTTTACTGCCCTGTATGCATTTCTGCAGCGGCCCAGTACCACTTACTGCAGGGCTGCATCGTCGAATCACCCTTGTGGATCCAGATTCCAGGAAGCGGTAAAGTGCCCACTGGGCCGAACAATCCTCGCGAAGATCACAACACACTGCAAACTAGCCAGTGTGCATCACAAACAAGTGCCGCATTTCACACAGGCACAGCGTCACCTTGGACACATACTTCTAAATGGTTGGGCATCTTGCAAGCGAGGTAGAGCGGGATACTGCCTGTGAAACTCGGGGTATCGAATGCCAATTGTGTCATTAAATCATCGTATCTGCCCTGCAACAGTCTCTACCAAGCATCAAAACGCCCTGGCATCCCCATCCTCTTGAATTCCGCAGGAGTTTATTTGTTCAGCTCCTTGGCCTTGGCCAGGCGCTCCTCCTTAGTTCCCTCCTGAGGAATCTCGCTGTGGTCGTGGGACACGGCCGGTCCGGGCGCGGCATGGTGTGGGGCAACCTTGGACTTGATGGCCTCGATGAAGCTAGAGCCTTCCTTCTTGCTCTCGTCGATGGGCTTGGAGAGGAGGTTAGTTAGCCACGGGACTCCCATGAGCCGAAGAGGAGGTGGGGAGGCTCTGCCTGGGCAACTTACCTGAGTGGTGAACTCCTTCTCTTGCTGGTTCTTGTCAGACATGGCTGCGGTTGCTTGGTGTGGTGGGCTGATGTGTTTGGTAGGTTCTAAGTCCTGTTATCAGTTGGTTGTCTTATCGTCATGCGGAACTGCTGGGTGGAATGGCATCAAGCCTTACTGGTTTGGAGTTGAGAAAAGCAGAAGGTCTTAGGTTGAGAAGCTGATAGCTGCAACTACGGTGTATGGAGTACGAGGGAAGTTGTCCCGTCTTATACATCCACTCCGGATCTGAGTTGGGGGCCCTCTTCTTGACAGTCACGGCTTGCGTCTATGCACAGCTAGCTGCCAGCACATGAAGATGACGTCGTTTCTTGACTAACGCCGACCCGTGACGGAGCAGGCAAGCAAGCCCCGCCAACGGGGCAACGCGGCTTCCATCGACTTAGCTGTCTGCCTGTGTGCTTGCTCAAGGCAAATCCAGGTAGGATGTCTGTAATTGGTAGGTCTCTCCCCTCCTAGCATGTCGTGCTGCAATGTATGACAGGCGGAAGCGGCCGAGACCCAAGGATGTGGTAGTCTATCAAACTGTTTCGGCTTGCGCGCGGCGGTCTGGCACTCAAAGCCTGGCAGTCAGGCCGGTTGCCTCACTTCTGGGATCTTCGGTTCGGAAGTCGAAGGACAACTCACAGTCTTCCAGACGCCACAACTACCGGCGTTCGGAACCACAGGGATCAGGAACACAAGCTCTTGGGGCATGCTTACTGTAATAATTTGATCATGTCCTCTTATTAATGGCTCGTTCGGGCATCCGTCCGGCCCAAGAGGCCATCATGGGGGAAGACACTCCAACGCTGGCGGCTGGCACCAGCTGCCGAACAGCTGAGGACTGCGACTGCTCCAATCTGACGACATGGAGTTCCGCGTCAGAAGTGCACGCGTGAATGTCGACTGGCCCGGCCTCAGCTTTCCATAGCATGCCGAACTGGCTTCGCTGACACCTGTCGACCCGAATACCATGTTTCATTCCCTCTTAGCAGGCATCGCATCTGCACTTGGCTGCCACACTTCATCATGGCCGCCAACGATGCGCCGCAGCCGGTGAAGCTCTCATTGCCCCTTGTAAGCCTCTCCAGCCAATTCACAGGCTCCACATCAGACGCTCACACTCATTGCTTCCTCTCAAGGAATATCAACAGTCTCTCTTTCAAGAACTCCGCTCAGAGGATGAGCTCGTCATTCTGGCGCGTGGCCTTGGGCTCATGCGCTTGCTGACCAATCTCCTGCATTCCTACGATGCTGCCGGCAACAATCTCATCGTCGTGGTCAACGCTGAAGACCGTGAGAACAACTGGATCGGTGAGGCTCTGGCCGAGCATGCTGCCATCAGCATGACGCCCCTGGCCCGGGGCCTGACCGTCGTCAACACCGACTACACAAATGTCGGCGCCAGGGAAAAGATGTATGCCTCAGGCGGCATCTTCAGTATCACGAGCCGTATCTTGGTCGTGGATATGCTCACCAACCTCTTGAATGTTGAGAAGATCACCGGGATAATCATTTTGCATGCCGACAGGGTAATTGCTACGAGTCTAGAGGCCTTTGTTCTGCGGATTTATCGCCAGAAGAATAAGGTCGGGTTTCTCAAAGCCTTCGCGGACAATCCGGACCCGTTCACTACTGGTTTCAACCCGCTCGCGGCCATGATGCGGAATCTTTTCCTGAGGAAGGCGAGTCTATGGCCTCGTTTCCATGTCTCGGTGGCGCAGTCCCTGGAGGGTAAAGAAGAAGGCAGAGGTTATTGAGCTGGAGGTTCCTATGACGGACGCCATGAAGGAGATCCAGACTGCCGTCATGGAATGCGTCGAAGTCAGTATCCACGAGCTCAAGAAGGGAAATACTGGCCTCGAGATGGATGACTGGAATCTTGACAGCGCCTTGACCAAGAATTTCGATGTTATGGTGCGACGCCAGCTTGATCCAAATTGGCACAGGGTGAGCTGGAAGACAAAACAGATTGTCAGCGACTTGACTGTGCTACGCGGCTTGTTGCAGGCCGTTGTCGGAATGGATGCTGTGCAATTCCTGCAGAACCTAGATACCATCCATGCTGCTCACTCGCCTGCGCCGGGAACAACCAGGCAGAATCAGTCACCGTGGCTGTTTCTCGACGCTGCTCAGACCATTTTTGATGTCGGCAGGAAGCGTGTCTACAGCGGCGTGAACAAGCCAGGCGCGGACTCCAATATTGACTCTGTACGCCCAGTGCTCGAGGAACAGCCCAAATGGGCGGTGCTAGCCGACGTTCTCCAGGAAATCGACAGAGATCTCTACTTCGAGCCGACGGCGCGTGACGACTCCAATGGCACTATTCTGATCATGTGCTCGGATGCCGCGACGTGTCGTCAACTCAAAGAATACTTGCAATCCATGCATGTGAAGCCCAAGGCAGAGCAGCCTAAGAAGAAGATCGTCTACCAGAGTGCCGACGATGACGAGGAGGATAAGCCGTCTGCAACATTTATGATGCGACGAAAGCTGCGCAACTACCTCAATTGGAAGCGAGAGTTCGCCAAAGTCAGTGCCACTCTGTTCGCCGAAAACCAAAATGCTCTGAAAGGTGCGACGGATCCACGTTTGCAGAAGACCAGCAGGGCGCCCGCCAACAAGCGGCGGCGCGTTCGCGGCGGTGGTTCAATGGCGACAAGTCTTGGCCGAGCCGAGAACGGGAGCCTCGTTCCCTACTTCGAAAAGGCGAGCGAGGTGTCTGAGCTCATGGAAGAGATCCAGATCACAGAAGAGGAGGCAAAACAGAAAGCAGATGTCATCGAGGACACGTTGGAAGATATGGACGATTTCTACGAGATGTATGAGATGCAGGATCTGGTGGTCATCCACGCCTACGACGGCGACCAAGACGAGCACATTCTCGAGGAGGTCAAGCCGCGGTACATCATCATGTACGAGCCTGATGCATCGTTTATCAGACGGGTCGAGGTCTACAGGTCGTCTCATAACGATCGCAACGTGCGCGTCTACTTCCTATACTACGGTGGCTCCGTTGAAGAACAGCGGTACTTGACCACAGTCCGGCGGGAAAAGGACGCGTTCACCAAGTTGATCAAAGAGCGCGCGAGCATGAGCGTCGTCATGACTGTTGACGCTCATGGAGTTGAGGACCCGCAGGAGGCGTTCCTGAGGACCATCAATACTCGCATAGCAGGTGGCGGGCGTCTGGCTGCCACAGCACAGCCGCCTCGGGTGGTAGTAGATGTCCGGGAGTTCAGATCATCTCTGCCTTCGCTCTTGCATGGTCGCTCCATGGTCATCGTGCCATGCATGCTGACCGTGGGTGACTATATCTTGTCGCCCAACATTTGCATCGAGAGGAAGTCGGTTAGCGATCTGATATCCTCTTTCAAGGATGGTCGTCTGTACAGCCAGGCCGAGACCATGTTCCAACATTATAAGTCGCCGATGCTGTTGATCGAATTCGACCAAAACAAGTCTTTCACCCTGGAGCCTTTTGCGGACCTGTCTGGAAACCTGAAGAGTGTCAACCCAGACAATGTGTCGTCTGACCTCCAGTCCAAGATCGTGCTACTAACGCTGGCCTTCCCCAAACTAAGGATCATATGGTCGTCATCACCGTACCAGACGGCCGAAATTTTCGAATCTCTCAAGGCGCAGGAGGAAGAGCCTGATCCGATTGCAGCGGTGAGGGCCGGGCTCGAGAAGAACGAGGTCGCCGAGGAGCAGCCGTTCAACCAGCAGCCGGAGGAGATGCTGATGCACGTCCCCGGTGTGACGAGCAAGAACATCAAGACCTTGACGCTCGAGACAGAGAGCATCAGGGACATTGCCAACATGTCCGTGCAGGACCTAGAGCCGTTCGTAGGTGGGGAGTCTGCCAGGAGGATTGTGAGATTCTTTGCGAAGGATCTGCTTGAAGATGAGGATTAGTTTGACGGGCCATTATGACATTTGACTAATCAAAGAACATCATTCATGAATGCTCATGTTCCACTATTAACTATTCTTGTTCCCGCCGTTTGAAGTTGCCGTATTGATAAAAGTTGCCGTCACTGGGAAACATGGTTACATTATCGAGTGTGACATACACACAGTAACCGAACTGGCCTGCTACAATTCTAGCCGATGTGCAGTGGCGTTGCATGTCACGAAGCAGCTCAAATTAAACGAACTTTGCTAGCGAAAGTGGTTGGACAACTGGGGTATATTTCGTTACTCCTTGTCTTCAATCATGCTAACGTCGTCCTCTCAAGGAAATTTCCGGTGTCGGTACTGTACAAGGGGAAAACAGGGGTATCAGGTATCTTCAATGCCTTGAACTGGAAGCGCGGAGGCCCATGATCATGCAAAGCGTTCCTCCATGAAGTCGGCAAACCCACAAGCCGCGCAGGCATTACTCTCTCTCAACTCCGTAGCTCGAAAAAGGAAACCGCGCCTCCGCGGCTACTCCTCGTCCCCTCCTCCACAAGGTGAGATCCAGGTCTTCGAATTTATCTCACGAACACGCCCGCCTGGTGGTCGTGCCGTTGCCCCTAGACATGACTAGTGTGTCTTGTGCGACGAGTACCTCCTCCGCCGTGGCGTCCACAGTAGCCGCCTGTGAGGGAGTTTGGTCAGTCATTGGTTCTTGAGGTGGATGGCTGGCTGACGTTGGAGGGGAAGAAGTTACTCACAGGTCAGGAAGCGAACGATGGCTGATAGGACGGCGACGACGCCGTTAACAATCGACATGATGACTCCAGCGATCGCGCGGATGACTGTCATGATACAGTCACCGATCCCCTGGATACAGGACATTACCGCGCCCATGTTTGCGGTGTTGTGCTGAGAATTTGTGGGAGGTTGAAGTTGTTGTTTTTGTGGAGGCTACGACTTGTAGGTCGGAATATTTTTGGCTCTGAGACTTGAGAGATGACTTGCAGGAATAAGGTTTGTTATTGACGGATGAGTTATAGGACACGGCCACTCGAAGGACGAAATGGTGTGTGTTGTTCCTTATATCCTCGAGTCTGGAAATCCCGGCAGGGCTTGCTCTGTTGTTCACTCATGCATCGCGATCTCGTCAGTGGGAGGCGCTTGCCGACTTCAGGCTGACGTCACGGTGTGACCGGGTGATTGCCGCAGGGATTTCCCTTTACGAGGATCCCTACGCCATCTCAACGTCAACAGCGTCACTGTAGGGCAAGGGAGGAAAGCCTCCGGTTTTGATTGTTCCTATGGTCGGGGCTTGTCGGGACCGCCTGGCAACCTGAGCGATCCAACGCTGTTTGGGAAATGAAATCTGACATGAGACACCAGAATCAAGAAAGCCGTGTCTGACCATTTCCGCTTCGAGCTTTGCCTCTTCTCGCGGTGACGTAGCCTGGTGTTCTGGGCAACCATAGACCGCTGGGCCTATCTGGGACTATCTGACGCTAGGACCATCTGGTGACATCTGCGTCACCACCAATCACAGCCAGGCAGGTGCCGAAAAGGGAAGGCAACCGTGTTAACCCCCCTGCAGGGCAGGGTGGCAAAGGAAAAGATATTATCCTTTTTTTTCTCCCCCCCCTCCCTCTTCCATTTTGGCGCGTCCACAAATCTTCAGCCTCGCCGCAAGGCTCCACAACAATTGTACAGACTCGGTCTTTCAAGTGGCTACATGGTCAAGCTGTGCTTGTTCTTCATAGAGGAGAAGTCTCTTTTCGTCTTTCATATTGTGGCCCCTCCTTGTTCATGTGTATACCTGGGTTGTCAGACCAGCACTTGTGAGCTGCAATGAAATGAAGCAGTAAAGAATCAAAGTATAAGAATTTGGCTCAAGATGAACCATCCAACGGTGATGCGACTCTTTTTCCTATCCAGCCTGCCCTGGAGTTGGCGCCATGGAGTTGGCAACCGCTGCATCTCAGCTGCCAGTATGAACAACAAGCCATGTCTTGTGATTTCATGGGGACTATGCAACTCAAGTGAATGTCATTCCTCATTCACTCTATCGGTGAGAGGCCGTATTTGAAATTACTACGCCATATAGTGCAGCTTCACCTGCGGTGGCAGCAGCGTGGCAGCCTCGTCTGCCGCCCTGTTCTTCGCCCAAGCTACCACACGCCCATATCTGGACTTCGCGTGATGATGGCCTCCCATCTGCAGGGCGAATGGAACCAAATTCGGCGCGTTGTTTACAAACTAAGCTGCCCCTCTGCCTCAGCAGACCCGAGTGAATGTTCCCAGCTTTGTTGCCAGGCAATCATCCTTCAAAGCATCTGCCACATCCTTTCCCCAACTCCGCAGGTGCCTCCATCCATGACCCTGCCCATCTGACCTCCAAACCGCAACTGATCACAATCTTGATTAAAGAATCCCAATGCCCGAACATGTCGACTTCGCGTGACATGCCTGGGCTCGGAGGGACAGGCGTACCTGACGGCTCTCAGGAGCAACCGATCTTAGTCGACGAGGATCATGACGTCCCCCAGTCTGGCATCGGATTCGAGGTAGAGAGGCTCGTTCGACAAGTCCAAAAGGGAGATGCCAGGTTTAACCCCATCGATCTCGACGGCGAGGACGAGAACCTTTCTGAGGATCCGTGGCGTGCCGACGAGGAAAACTACGACCGTGACAACGCCAAGATCGAACTCGAGGAGCTGACAGACGAGCCCGAGGACACCCAAGGCGGGCCCTGTGTACACTGGAAGAAAGGCATCCGCAACCCCTGCCCATGCGGCACTCATCAAAAGGTGCCCAAGGTGATGGCCGGCAGCATCGAGATCAGCCAGTCTCAGGTTGTCGAGTTGAAGGTGTCCGTCCGTGTCGGCCGCTACGAGGCAGAATTCCTCGAAGTCTACGAGATCTGGGTCTCTTACAAGGGCGGCGATTCCTTCGTCCGTGGTCTAACCTATGCCAGGACAAGGAACCTCGAGGGCCGGATCGTGCCTCGCAAGAATGAAGTCTGCGAGATCTATGAACTCGATGAGAACGACCACCGAACATATCTGGAGCAGGCGCTGGTTGAGGTTCCGATACAGAACATCAAGACCATCAGGATTCTCCACAAGACGAACAGGGCCTTTCCAGAGTGCCGCTTCGATCCGGTCCGGTACAGGACCAAGAAGGAGCGAGAGGACAGGGCACCCATTATTTGTCGTTGGAAACAGGTGTTGTCGTACCCGGATTCCAGATATCGCCGCCAACAGCGACCAATTGCTGGGGAGGTGATCGAGCACTATAGCCAGGACGACATACCCAAAGAACGACATCGCATACCAGACAGTGAGCGCCGCAAACCCCATGAGAAGATCCGAGGTGGTTCGTTCGTCCCCAACGGCGCCCCCAAGGCCGATCCGGAAGCTTCTCTTATTCACCAGGCCCTAAAGCAGAAGTACGCTGCTGCCGACTTCTTCTGTGGGGCCGGAGGCTCCTCGAAGGGAGCCGAGATGGCCGGACTCAAGGTCTTGGTGGCTTGCGACTGGTGGACGCACTGTTGCGAGACATACCGGCAGAACTTCCCGGATGTTGAGCTCCACCAGAAGGACGTCTACAAGTTCATCGAAGACATGAGCACCGACCTGACCCGCGAGCACCTCAACATCGACATCCTCCACTTCTCGCCCCCCTGCCAGACGTGGTCCCCAGCGCACACGTGCGAGGGCAAGAAAGACGAGGAGAACAGGGCGGCGCTGTTCGCGTGCGAGAAGATGCTCGTGATATTCAGGCCTCGCATCTTCACGGTCGAGCAGACCTTCGGCCTGGCGCAGGACCGGTGGATCCCCAACTTCAACGCCCTCCTCCAGGGCTTCACGCGCCACGGGTACTCGGTCAAGTGGAAGGTGCTCCACCTGGTCGAGTACGGGCTCCCGCAGACCCGGAAGAGGCTGGTCATGATCGGCGCCGCGCCGGGTGAGCAGCTCCCCGCCTGGCCGAGGCCGACGCACAGCAAGGACCCCAAGGACGGGCAGAAGCCGTTCGTGTCGGCGTTCCAGGCCTGTAGCGCCCTCGTCGAGGGCGAGAACCGGCACGATGTTAAGGGCGCCCGTCCCGCCAACAAGGTCCCGTGGGACAGCAGCAAGCCTTTGGGGCGGACTGTCACCTGTTCCGGCGGCCAGTGCCACCACTGGTCTGGCGAGCGGGACTTCACGCTGGCGGAATTCGCGGTCATTCAGGGGTTTCCCACTGACTTCCGCTTCGAGGGAAAGTGCATCAAGAAGCAGATCGGGAATGCTTTTGCGCCCATTGTCGTCAAGGTCCTGTTGAAGTGTATTCGCGTCCACCTGGAGAACTTCGACGGGGTCACGCGTGAGCCACCACCAGGTCAGGTCATTATACTCAGCGATGATGATAATGACAGCCACGACAACAACAGATCACAGCTTCAGCACAAGGACCAGAGCCAGAGCCAGATCGAGGGCCCGCTGGTGGTGGAGGACCTAGTGGGCTTCTGCAGGAAGCCATCCGGCCTGAGCCAAGAGCTCCTTCAAGGCATGATCAACGATGGTCACGAGAACCCTATGCAGTGCTTCCTTGCAAAGGGGACTCGAAAGTCTTCCAAGGGCAACAGCAGCCCCGGGCCCAACCCCCGGAGATCCAGCCGGATAGGAAGCAGACAAGCTCAACCCACCCAAAGGAACACCTTAAACTCCTACTTCCTCCCCGTCAATGACCAAGATTCTCCATCTGCCGCAAATACCGTCCTCGGGGGAAACTCCAGCGTGGCCCCTCAGAATGCTGCAGGCTCCACCTCGGTCACGGCGGACGACGATCATACGGCCACCCAGGACGCGACTGCCGGCGCTTCCAGAGCAACTTTTCAGATCCCTTCGACTTCGGACGAAAGCACAACCGGTCAGGCTAGTAGTGCAAGGCAGACTGCCGGTGCCGGCCGGACTATCAACGCCGGAATCATCGCCGCTCAGCCCCGTCAGAGTCCCCCAGACTCCGATGAACCGCGGACCCGCCGAAGCGCTCAATCAGCGGTGACCATCGCTGACCTCATCCCCTCCGCCCGCCAAACTCGCTCGAGCACCAGCCGCTCCACGGCAGGCCCAAGCGGCGGCCAGACAATCGTCGGTAGCGTCCTCAGCGCGCCCGCTCAGGACTCCTCCGACTCCGACTCCGACCGGCCCATGGCCCGCCGGAGTGCGCGCACGGCGCAGACCATCGCCGACCTGAACTACTCGCCCCGCCAGACTCGCTCTACCTCTCTTCGCTCCACGGGCCACCGGAGCGCCCGGACTGCCCAGACCCTCGCCGGCCTGGACGAGGAGTCTTCGGCGGGTCGCTCAACCTCCAGCGACGCCGCCGCACGTCGGCCACGGCGGACGGGGCGGATCGTCCGCGGCGTCATTACCGCCCCGAGACGCCAGAGCCCCCCTGGCTTCGACGACACCACGCCGCTGTACCAAGCCGCGCAGACCACTCAGACAGTCACGGACTCTGGCGATGCTCCGCCGAGTCCAGCCCCACGTGTTGCTCAGCACAGCCGTGTCTTCAACAATTCTGCGCCACTGGAGGATATCACTCAAAAGGAGGCAGTCGCGGGGGTTACGAAGGCAGCCATGGGGACCAAGATATTCCCCGGGCTTGTCAAGGGACTGCAGAACCTCAAGGTAGACAAGGATCCTGCCGTCCCTGCTTTGCCCGGCCCACAGGGTCCCCCGGGCCTCGATGTTGCCTCGCCTGGTCAGACCCCTCGTACCGGTCAAGATACTGACGACGTCCTCGCCGAGCCAACTGCGCCAATTGCGCCACGCCACCAGAGCCCCTCGGACACTCGTGACGGTACGCCAGGCCAGGACATTCCCACTTCTCACAGCGGGCTTTTTGAAGGCACTGTCAGCTCGACAGCCCGTCAGACTGGCATCCGCGCCGCTCTGGCCAACGCCTCGCAGCACACCCAGGCACGAGAGGACGCAGGTGGCCCGAGCCGGAGGAGGTCTAGCGGCGACAGCGTCGCGTACATGGGGGAGTCATCCCGCGCGGGCGCCAGGCCTTCGCTGCCGTTCGTTGTCGAGGATGACGAGGAGGAAGCCGGTTACGATGACGGCGACCAGGAGGAAGACGAGGACGAGGAGCAGCAGCTCCAACGCGCCATCAAGATGAGCTTGGGGGTGGTGTCTCCCGTCCAGGAGGTCCGAAGGTTCGCCGCGCAGGGCTTCGACCCGGACGAGACCGCCCTCGCCATCCAGGCCAGCATCCTGGAGGCGCATCGTCCCAGCCAGGACCTCGAGCCCGAGGACCTTTACACATCCATGGACCACGACGCGCCGGCGCCTGAGGCCGAGCCCGAGCCCGAGCCCGAGATGTATGGGCCGGGGGACTACAAAGGCAAGGGCAGGGCGGTGGCGCCGAGGAAGTATGACAAGTACGCCGAGGATGAGGAGGAGGCTGAGAGGGAGGGGAGCCCGAGCAAGCGGCCTCGTGGCAGCAAGTAGAGTGTGTCTGGTTTCACGTGTTGGTCAGCATCGAGAAGAAGCATAGCGAAGGCGCATAGATGTTTCGTCGCTCTCGCGACAGGAAGGCTGGGAGACGGCACGGCAGTGTTTTGATTTCCGGGAAGGCAGCGACGGCATCCAGGCATAGCACAATGTAATTTTCATAATTCTGTACAATTCTATCAGAAGGGGACCAGGACACTCTGATCGACCCACCACGTATTATTCGGCTCGCCACTCGGCGTCAGGAACACATCCGTGGGCCACCGGTACGGCTCGGCCTCCTCGTCGTCGAGCACGATCGTGACGTTGCTGGCCATCTCGGCCGTGACGTTCCACCCCGGTCCGTAGTTGTCGAACGTGGCCATGAATGTATAGTTGTTAACCCTGGGGTCGGTTGCGCCCCACTTAATATACCCAGCTGGCAGGATGCTCGCGTCAAAGTAGCTGTCCATGAAGATTGACCGCTGCTGGGCGTTCCACGGGCGGCCCAGGGCGCACTGGCCGACGACCTCGGCGGCCGTGGAGGCGTTGTTGGCAATGAGTTGGGACGAGTCGATGTAGACGCCGTACTTGTTCTCGAAGGTCGTGTTGGTACCCTTCCAGGCGGTGATACCGCCTCCGCAGTGGCGCAGCGACAGAGTAGACTTTGTGATGTACAGTGTGCCAAAGCCGTACAGGAAGTCCGTCTGGCCTGCGACGACGGTGTCGTAGAAGTAGGCGTTGGCTAGCTTGCCGACGTATATCTGGAAGAGGGCTGGTCAGTGCCGGGATATCTATCAGGAAGCAGGGGCGAATCTCACGGTATCCTGCCAGCTGTAAAAGCCGCAGCTGTAGAAACCAGCATTGGCCCTGGACACGCCCATGGCGTGGGCCGGCCCGTTCGAGTAAGGGGCGTACTCATTCCTGAAGTCGATGCTGTACGCTCTGAAGTCCTCGCATCCGAATGGGGTATCCTCGGGCACGGGGAAACCCGTGGGCCCACTGCCGGTGAGAGTAGCGTTGAGGGTAGGGCCGACGGTCAGGACACCGGTGAAGACGTTGTCACTGATCAGGTTGTTGCCGACGTTGGCAGAGCTGAACCAGATCTGCACATCGTTCTGTGCCGTCTGGTTGTGGCTCACATCCCCGGCGTAGTCCTGTTGCTGGGACGGCAGGTTGGACTGGCCCAGCAGGTAGAGAGGCGCTGAGCGGGTCACGTTGAGTTCTGAGGACTGTCAGCAGGATGTGCATCTGTGTTTGGAAGGGGTGTCTCTCACGCTCATAGTAGAAGCCAGCACCGATGAGGATGTAGTGAGGCTCCGTGTCGTTGCCGATGGAGATGATGGCATCCTGGATCTTGGTGAAGTCGGCAGAGGTGTCATTGGCGCTCACATATATGGTCCCCTCAGGACAGCCCTCGAGCGGGTCAGCCGTCTTCTTCTGACAGTCCGCGAAGGTGGTTGCCGGGTAGGGGGCTGCCGAGTTGGCATTGGCGAGGACCGGGCTGGTGACCCCCAGGGAGAGGAGAGCCACCACAGCGGTGGATTGTCCCAGCATCTTGACAAGATGTGTCTGTCCTTGACGATGCGGTGCTTGGCTCTCAGGGCTCAGGGGAAGAAGATGCCAGTGCCAAGCGGGTGACAAGGACGTCAAGACAAGACAAGCTTCCAGTGTGTAGACAGAAGGGAAGGGCCGAGGCCATATTGTGTCCTGCCTAACAGTATAGTTCGCATGGCCTCGACCCAGTCTCCCGGAACGGTGACGCCTCGAATGTCACCCTGCCCAGGAGGCAGTCATGGCCGGCCGGCGAATCTCAGGACGAGCTGTGGGGAAACACACCAGCCAAGGACAGGACATGCTGGCGACAGGGACGGCGAAACTCGACGAAGGGGAGCGGTGCTACCAGGGGCATGTCCCTCCCGCAAGAGCCGGCTGCGTGGTGGGCTCTCTCCTGTCATTTCGATGCCGCTGCAGATTGAGCGAGGTCTAAAATGTGGAGGGGAATGGGCCCCGGCCGTCACTGCAGCAGAGTCTCCACATCCTCCGCTGCTCCGTCTTCCCCATCCCCCCGCGAAATTGGGCCGCCGTGGTGCATGATTCGTTTCCTGGACAGCGGGCTAGCGGCTGCTCCCTGGGGCAGCACGTGTTGCCTCTCGTCGCCATTGATGGAACAATTCTGCCTGGGTTGCTCCGCATCGCACTACGTCCGTATACGTTCCCAGAACCAGGAGACAAGGGTCACGGCGACTTTCGGTGCGAGACCCGAACCGACCTCACTCGTGTGCTACGACTGTCACAAGCCATGAGGCCACGCTCAAGTGAGCTTCAACAAGTTGGACCTTTACTTAATGACGAGGTGATGGCCATCGCTTTGCTACTGGGTGACAAGACATGGTGTCACCGTCATGGGATATAGATGTTCACTCGAGGCAACGCATTGAGCAGAGGCGGCTTGGGATTTCGTGGTGGGTGGCCTAGAACCGGCCGTCCAAGCCAGTGTGACTGCTGTTGTGTGGTTGGGGCGAGTCCATGCCCTGTCCGATCTCTCCTTCTCAGGGCGGCCGGAAACTCTCATTTCTGCCCAGAAACTCCTCGCAAGACCGACATGTCCAGCTGTCTACGTTGTCCCCCCTCGTCCCATCCGATGGCATCACTTTGAGAAAACTGGACTGGGCAGCCCCAAGGACACCAGTAGACTGCTTCCCATGAACACTTCCACCCACCAAACGCCAGTCGGCGGTCAGGCGCTCAGTGGTCAGCTGAATATGAGATGAGGCAAGCTCAACCACAGGATGGCGGTTCGCAACAGGGGTCGCAGAAGTCTTGCTGCTCGCAGATGGTCGCGCAACTGTAAGAACCGTCAGATTGTCAACTCTCTCTCCGTATGGTACAAAAACAGCAGTCGGGGCTCTCCAGGCCAAAGATCATCTCGGGTCTGATATGACTGCTCAATCGGGCTGTAGATGGTGATTGGGGCTTTTGTGGTGGGACACTTACATGACCCACAAGATCGTCCAGGCTGCACACGTCTTGACGCACAGCGAGCACTCATCGCACTGGCCCTTCTCGGAGCCGACGATGCCTCCTCCTCCGCCGTCGCCAACGACGGTGGCCATGAGTGCGCTGCTGTCGATGCGGACCTGGACGAGGTCGTTGATGTCGAGGCCGGACCGGCTGAACTTCTCCTCCTCGGCGGTGAAGTTGACGCCGTCGACGTTGAAGTCGCCCGCCGCGAAGGCAGCGACGTTGGGGGCCCAGATGCCGTTGGCGGCGAGGATCTCGGTCGCGTTGGCCCTGAGCGTGGTGTTGAAGGGGCGAGGGTTGCGCTCAGAAGTGGTGGCCATCGCGGTGGCGGCGACGGCGGCCACGAGGGTGTAGATGTAGAAGAAGACCTTCATAATTGCTTTCTTGGATGGGTGTGATGTAAGTCTTTCGTTGATATGAGTAGGCTTGTGTATTCTTGGGAATGTTGTGGTTGTTGTTGAGTGTCCGGGTAGGCAGAAGTTGGGAGTTGACGGTGGGAGATGGGCCGGTATGGGAGCAGACTTTAAAGCAAATAAATGGCTCGTTTGCGAACCGGATTAACAGCTCTCCCTCCACCATAGCTATGTACTGGGTACGTAGTCTAACGCCTCGCTGCTTGTCACTGATTCTACTTTGCTCATATGTCCGAGTCACATGCTAAGGACGAGGTCTTCATACACTATTCAAGCATCGAAAGATCTAGCTATACTTTGTACCTGCTTCCAAATCATGAAACGGGCAATCACTTCTCCTGGTCAGGAACGGTACCAGATCCGGTGCTTTATCAGGGTCACATCATGTTGCTGTCCATGACAGTGTTGGTATAGGCAGAAAACAGAGAGTGTGTACGCCACTTGCTGTCCTACCTAGGTACGCTGTGACACGGCTTGACTACTGCTGCAAATCAAGTGTGACGGCCAAGACCGTAATATCCAATCTACCAGGTTGGCTATTCAGCAGTATATAAGAGCCGTAACGTCACACGCTGTGAGCAAGAAGGCCGCCACTAGAAGAGACACAAGTACACAAGGATTCAATTCGAGGATGGCTTCAAGGATACCAAACCAGGTGAAAGAAACGATCACACATACAGACTCAAGGCCAGCAAGCCCAAGGTCCGTTTCATCAGGCCAAAGCCTTGGTGTAAACAACAGGTTGTGGAGACGATGTTCATGGATATTGCGAAAAGATATGCGGCAAAAGCGCCCTGTAGTCCAAAATCTAGTCGTGGCCCAAAATCGAAAAACCAATCCAGTGACGCCGTGCGTAGCCCAAACGCCCCGGATCCTCTATTATTCAAAATCCAAACAGATACCCTCAGGGAGACTCAACCACGATCAGTCCTCCTCACTGACATCGCTCTCCGCATCTCCACCGTCATCAACCTCCATGCCACCAAAGTCCTGCTCGAGGTCCTGCTCGAGCTCCTTCTCCAGCTCCTTCTCAAAGTCGAGGTCCCCGAAGTCGTCGTTCCCATCGTCATCGGCTGGCGGCGGCGCGCCACCAGCACCGCCGCCGACCACGGGGCTGGGCAGCTTGAAGCCGGTGACGCCCTCGCCGCCCTCGCCCGAGACGTCGTCGTCCTCCTCGCCCAGGATGTCCTCCTCGTCGTACTCGGCGTCCGCGTCCTCGTCCGACTCCGGGCCCTCGTCGCGCACGAACTCGGAGAAACGACGGATCGCCGTTGGGAACGCCGGGCTAAAGTCCTGGCCGCGGGTGGGCGCCGACGGCGCCGGGTCCGGGTACTCGACCAGCAGGCCGCCGTCGCCGTCCTCGTCGTCGTCCACGTCCGACTCCGCCGGTGAACGGTTCCGCTGCTGCTTCTTCGGCTTGTTGTCCTTGTCGGCCTGGGACTTCTGCGACGACTTGGCCTCCGCCTCGGGCGGCTCGGCCTTGGCCGCAGGGGGCTCCTTCTTCTTGCTGTCTGCGCTAGCCTTCTTGTTTCCGTTCTCTCGCGCCTTGACGGTCGCTCCCTTGCCCATCTTCTTGTCCGTCGTGGGCCGGACGTTACTGTCGATGTGAGGGTATTTTTCCTTGAGCTCCTGGGCGTCGCTGTTGTAGGGGGTCCGGGCGAGGTTCATGTGGAACATGGAGTCCATGCGGTGCAGCACAAAGGCCTTGCGCTCCGGGTCGAAGATCAGAACATATTGGTTCTCCTTGGCGGATCGCGCGCCGTTGTATGCGTACTTGCCTCCGTTCTCGTAGAAGGACATGTTGAAAGTGTCGTCGTCGGATGGGGAGGGCTTCAGCTCGGCCTCATTGGGGCCCGTGTCTGATGATAGCTCGGGCTTGTGGTTGTCTGCGAGAGTTACAGAAGGCACATCAGTCACCAGCCCAGCTCGGGTCTTTCTCTATGGCGGGAAAAGCCGGGGCGTCTCACATCTGATAGCGGTCAGAGCCTCCTTGGACGACTTCCCGAGGAGAGCATCGCTGAGGATGACCGGGTAGCTCTTGGGCTTGGTGGGATCGACGACCCCGGGAGGGGCAGCTGACGAGGCCATGACGGGGACGACGGCGGCGCGGAGGAGGGGCGGGAGCGGGAGCAGGAGCAGGAGCGGTAGCAAGAGGAGGCACGCTGGCTTGGGGATCCAGAGGTGGTGGATTTACATTGTTCGCATGAGGGTGACTGCGAGAGAACGAACTGGCCGCGGGCTTTGTCCGTTGCTCAGGGCATGCGTGGTGGAACCCGGCGAAGTGAGGTGAGGCGAAGAGGGCCAAGTAGGGGTCGCAGCTCCGCCGTCACTCCAACGTCTGGCAGGTCAAGGGGAGGTCTGTCCGTGCTGATCAGTCCGGGGCGTTCCATGCGGGTGCTTTGTTTGGTCCAGTGCCACTAATTTAGCGCCCTGTTGGCGGACGGATATCGGTGGGCCCCAAGCTCGGCCCCTCTACCCGGGGGTGTGCGCTCAACGTCGGGGCTTGTCCCAATGTGTCTCTTTAGGGGCGTAATATGGGATCTATCTCTCTGGCTTAACACCAACCACATCTACTTTCTCAACCTCCCGGCAGTCCATGCTCCAACGCAGCCGGAGAATGAAGAGGATCGCGCGGAGACGGGAGGTCTTGACCGAACAAAAAGACTGCATGACACGAAAATCAGCAAAACGAGCGAGAACATAAATGAGGGCTTGTCCTATTTGGGTTGCGAGATTATAGTCCTGCGAAGGTGGCAATGATAACACTACATGCCTCGCAGATAAAGCCAGAAGGTACATAGTCAGCGCTCGCTCCAACAGGCTTTTGCCGATTGTCCCAAACTCCTCCCCCAATATCGAGGCCTCCTTCCTGGCTTGCCATGCTGTGCACCACCCATATGCAGTCACAATCTCAAACCTCCAGTCCGCATTTACGTCAAGCAAGTGCTGCGGTGGACCATCTTGTGTATGAGGCCACCAGATATTCGCATGCCTATTCCTTCTGGCTCTTCGTGATCCAGGGCCCTTCCTTCAACTTGAAGACACAGGGCCCCATTCCTCCGGTACAACACCAGCTCCAGGACTCCGGTAATCGGAATCAGTCGTCATCAAATATTTGGTACGTGTTCTGTAGGATAGTGTCGACCACCTTGGCTTGGAACCCCGAGTCACTGATGGCGCCGTGGGCGCTACCTCCCATCAGCGTAGGGCCAAAGACGATGGCCAGGTTCTGAGATGTCATTCTGTTCGTGGCCGAATTTTCCATCACACGGTGAAGGTGTAGTGCGACGGCGCGAAGTGTTGCGTAGTTGGGGTCTGGAAGAGAGTTGATGATGGCGTGGAGGGAGTCGCGGCGGACGATTTCGTCATCGTGCTCTGAGAACGGGTTAGGCCTGGCGAATGGAGACACAGTATGACTGGAGGAACTCACTAGCTGCTTCGATAAACCCAGAATAATGCTCCTTGGTCAGTAACGGGTCCGGCAGGTCGCGGAAAAATTGCTTCAAGAGGCCAGCCACACTGTTCACGTCGTGGAAGAAATTCTCCGGGTTTCTGAAATCAAGTTGTGGTGACGCCGTATCTGAAGAACTGGTTAGTGGACCAAATTAACCCACTGGGATCACGTTCTTGGGCTTACCAGTGTCAAACATGCTCTTCATCTTGTTCACTTGTGGCAGAGACCCAGACAACCGATAGATACCTTCGACTGTGAGACCAAACAGATCAACGGCTTGAATACACTGATAGACGACCATGGGAACTGCCAGCCCATCCCGCTCGTATAAACGTGCGAGAGAGACACCGAAAACAGGCCGTGAGCCCACCGCCCTCGGTGGTGATGAGCCTCGGCCTGGCCCTGGCCCCATCGGGCCTGGGGCGTGCTGTTGTGCGGGACCACTGTCCGCAGAGAAAGGTGGTGGCGGCGCAGAATAGTTGGCCGGTTCCTGGAACGGTAGCGCCCCAAGTTGTGGTGGCCCCTGGGATGCCATCCCGGGCTTTTCGTTGTATCTCGAATTCGCGCTGCCCGAGAGGAGCATACCCGGGCCGAATGAGTTTCGGTTGCTGTATTGCGGCTGGGAAGCCGTCGGTCCCGTTTGGTTCAGCATGCTTGCCGAACTAAAGCTGCGCTCATGCTGTTGGTTGGAAGACGTAATCCCCTGTGTCGGAACAGCTGGCATTGGTGGCATCGCACCTCGCGACCAATCTGGCTCTTGGCTGGGCGGTAGCTGCTGTTGTTCTTGCGGTTGGTTGTTTAACAGGGTGACGTAGGCTGGAAAGAATCCTGCCGAGAATGTCCGCTGGGCTGGGCTGTTCCCTGGCTCGGCGGCTGAGATCTCGCTGGTTGATAGGTTGGTGGGTGAGCTCCTGACATCGTGGGACCGCCAGACGGACCTCCGAGAACCTTCCAGTTGTCAACCTCTGCTCCAAGATGCGCTTCCGAGACGAGGGAGACTTACAGGATGCCGCTCATATTTGGGCTCCCCTCTGCTAGGCGGGACCTTGCTGTGGTTTGCACACAGATACTCACTCAAATCCCGCTGAGTGTCGACATTGTGGACAATCTCTCTGAGACTCATAGAGTCCGGCCGAGAGGACTTTCCATTCTTCAGAGGGCTGACGCTTAAGCCGTTGCTCAGAAGAAGCTTTTCGTTGAAAGATGCTAAGAGGGGTTCGTCAGCCAGGTTCATAGTGCGACGCGTGGGCGAAATTCACCAAACTTCTGCATCTGCAGGACCAGACCCGAGTCGCATTCCCTGACAATGTCTTGCAATGCCCTGATGGCCTCCGGCCGCGTCGTCGAGATCAGCTGGCCGCGCTCCTGCTGATAGGCCTGGACCTTGTTCTTGTAGTCCTGATCGGCCGCCTGTACTTTGCGCAGCAGCTCCTCCTCGTGCTGCGCTGCAGACTTTGGGCCCTTGAACCCGAACATCTTGCCACCTTTTTGCCCGTCCCCAGTCCTGACCCGGTCGTATTCTTCCGCCAGCGAGTGGTACTTGGCCTGCGACTTCCGCATCTGTGCATCGACGTCGGCCGCACGGTGCTCCGCGGCGAGTCCGTCTTGCTTCCAGCCTTTTCTTTGTTTCTCTGCAATAGCAGCGAGCTCGTTGAGGTCTTCGGCCATTTGCAGAAGCGACATGGCGTACTGCGTACCGTTCTCCGCGATTCGACTGTGTGTGCCCATCATGCCATCGAAGGCCTTGGCAAAGCTGCCCCCGAGGTGGTCGGACCGGCGCATGTTGTCGGAAGTCGTCCTCGCCAGCCTCTTGAGCCCATTTGCGTTGTCCTCTTCGATAGCGGCTCTCTTTTTGAGAAAATTGGCAAATTCCTGTGCAGGGCGACATACATCTCGAGTAAGCCGGTGCAAGATCTCCCATGCATAATGCTGGTTTTGCCTACCTTTGCTGATGCGACACTCTGCTTCAGTCTGTTGAGCATGGTAGCAACACCGATCTACGACCGCCGTCAGCCCTGGGTCAGACCCATCTGTGTGCGCGCGATAAAGTTCACCTCTGATGAAAGCACATCCTCGACCATCTTCTCGTTTCCTGACGGTGCTGCCGCCGGAGGTGCAGCCGTCGCGGGTGCTGGGTCGCCGGCCAAGGGGCCAGCGCCGTTGGAATGGTGTTCGCCATTCTCTGGGAGAGTGAAACCGCCGCCTAGAGACATGTTGCTGTCGGCTCGTTCGCGGGGAATCTGTGGGAGGAAGTCGGAGGAAGCATTGGCGTCGGCCATGGTGGCGGGTCGACGGGCGTCGGGGGGGGGGTATACCTGCGGGCAGGCAGGCAGTCGGCTCGACAGGTGATATTGGTTTGAAGATCGATTAAGCCAAGTAGCAGCCCCTGGCCGAGTCTACACCTTGCAGGACTGCTCGTTCGGACTTCTGGACTAATGGCGCACCAGGGTGAGACCCCGTAGATTCCAGATCGGGGCCGTGAGCTCTCGACCTCGACCGCGGGAGCCCTGCGGGGAGTAGCGCAGTGGGTTCTGACACGGAGTCCGGACAAAAAAAAATAAGACAACAATGGGCAGCTCACTCCTTGGCTGTCGCGACCCGAGGCACGCGGGGATCGCTGTGGCTCGCTGTGGTTCGCTGTCACTGGCAGGGCAGGGCAGGACGGGACAGGACAGGGCACTGTCAGGGCTGGACAGGGCAGAAACAGCGACTGAGTTGAGGGCGGAGGGTGCGTGGCAAGGGTTGAAACGGCGGGTTTTATGCGCTCGGGGCGGAATGGCTGCGTCGGCCCACACGAGTCTGTGGGATGCGACGAGATATCGCCCAGGATGTTGCCGGTAGTCGCAGAGGCTTCGTCTGATCGCCTCGGCCAATGGCGCCCAGAGGCAACGGTCGATCAGTGCTCGGATGATACTGACTGACCGGGTCAATTGGGCGTGATCTCCAGTCAGGACCGTGTCCAAGGGGCAGGAGTGCAGCAGTAGATGTACAGAGCGAGAGGACAGCACGTCGAGTGTGGTGTTGACGGCAGAAATCACAGAGCAGAGGAGACTCCTGAGGAGCCAAGCTGGTTGGAGCTGCAGATGGCGATATGCACGCAAGTCGTGTTCGGGTGTGGCTCAGCAACTCTAGCGGCAGCGAACCGGAATCGAATCGTTTCCCCAGGGTGGAGACTAGAGGCACCTCGTGCTCCCCCAGGCCAGCACGCAGCACAGTAGACTACCTAGGTACAGTGAGCCGAACAATGGACGGGGACAGGGGTTCAGGCGGGCCTCACCTCTCCACCCGCATTTCTGGTAACCCATCCAACGTCATGCCATGCCATGTCATCCCAAATTCATATCTACAGGTGGACTATATACTGTTACAAGCTGTTCTATATCTACGGCCTGCGTCAACAACGTCGTAGAGGACCAAAACTTTTCAGCCTTTTTGTGACCGGCCTGCACAACTCTGCCCCTCGAGCTAAACGTGCCCCACGAAACATCACCTGCGGACAGGCTTCGGCTACCCGGGCACAGCACGAAGCAACCTGGCACCATGCGGTGAAGCTCAGAGCTAAATCCGCTGCAACTCCAGCGCCATTCCTGGTTTCTTTTTCAGCACCAAACGAACCACCATGCAGATCCTCTGCCACGCAGCGTGTCGTGGGAGTGCAGCCCGGAGTGCAGTAGCAGTACCACCACCTTGGAAACAGGCACACATGCACCGACCGTCCTAGCACCCGCGCCGTCGAGCCCGCTTAATGTTTCGCCGGCCGTTGTCACGAGCCCCTTGCTACGTGATGGATCGTCCCATAATTGGTGCCTGTGACCACTCCCACTAATCGTAAAACCACGGAACGACTCACGAGCCGGCCTCCCGACGACCTGGGCCAAAGTACCAAAGCTCCCGAAGCTTCAGCGCTAGAAGGTCCGTTTCAGCTAAGAACACGGTCCTTAATATCGGCACCCGTCTCGTCTGAGTGTGGTCAGCTAGACTTTCGTCTGAAATGCTGGCTCTCCCTGCTGGTGACGTCTGCTCTGATATACTGGACAAGTCTCCGCCACCTGCAATAATCTGGGAAGATAGGTCTGCTTGTTCCCAGTTGCGGAGACTGCCCAAAACACCTTGCTATAGCTGGTCGAATGCTCCCCAGACTACTCCGCCTGGACTATTCGGATCCAATCTACGGATGAGTGGTCACAGAGAGCATTCCGGTTCTGACAGAGGAAGTCGTTGTCGCTGCTCGATTTGTCACTCTCGTGCTATCTATCCCTCGCTGCATCGCGTGTCCGGGTAATCCCACTCCCATGTGCCAAGTGCGCCCACGTTGTGGAGAACCTGGTTAAGCAAGTGGTTAGGCGAGCTCCAAGCCCCATTTGCTTCCGAATGCCACCCTCATAGGTGGAAACGACGTTATCAATGTAGCTTTAAGTTGTAGTGTGGCGCACAGTTACAGTTCGCTACGTTTGACAAAACCAATATATGCAACCAAGACTATCGACACCCTGTCTTTTCTCAATAACTGGCTCATCTATATTTGGCAGCATTGGTAAGCCACTCCCAAGTGTCGATATGGTCCAAGACTGTGATTGATCCAAAGGCCTGTGATGGAGCTGTGTTCCGAGACGCCCCTGCGGCCTGCAGCACCCGTTCATCGTGGGTACGAAAGTCTTCCGTCTCGAACAGCGATCAACAAACACATACCAATCCCCCCCTAACCCCATTTCATTTGGCAAAAGCCAAGCTGGAGGCCCCGGCGTTAAATGTATACGATGTCGTCACTACAGACCACATGTAGCAGTATAACACATAGTTGCTGTCCGCGGCAACACAGAGAAGGAGAAAGTGCACTTTTGTTTTGTCTATCCGAGGACCGTCCTATTTCTTTCTTGTAATTTTCCGTTTAGTCTGAATAAGTTTAGATGTAGCCCTTCAATGCAGCAGCCTCGGCGTTCAATATCGAGGAGCCAGCAGCTCCGATGACAGCTACGGAGAAACGTCAGTCTTTGGCCACTTACGTGGGAGGAAAATCTAGGGGACCGCTGGCATGGACTCACTGTTATGGCTCAATGCAACAAACTTGAGATCGAAGATGCCGCTGTCATCCTCCCTCACACGGCCCACACTGACAGTGTAGCCCCTGGACAGCTCACGGTCCAGCCTCGGTTGCGGCCGGTCCGGCTGGTCGTCGCCAAACACCTTGATGCTAGGCTTGGGTGCCGACGGGCAGCCAAGCTTCTCGACGTCGCTCACGTAGCCATTCAGCGCCTCGCGGACCTCCTCGGCGCTGGGCGGCGGCCTCTTGGCGAAGCGCAGCGACACGCACGCGACGTGGCCGTCCAGGACCGGCACGCGATTGCAGGAGGCGGAGACCTTGAGGCTCTTGAGCTCCTCGAAGGCGGTGGCGTCGGCATTGATGCCGCCCAGAATCTTCTGCGCCTCTGTCTCCAGCTTGTCCTCCTCGCCCGAGATGAAGGGCACCACGTTGTCGATGATGTCCATGGAGCTTACGCCCGGGTAGCCCGCGCCGCTGACGGCCTGCATGGTGACGACGGAGACGGTCTCGATGGGGCCGAATCGGGCCTGCATGGCGGCGAAGGGGATGACGAGACCGATGACGGCGCAGTTGCTATTGCAGACTAGGAAGCCCTTCTCGAGGTTGTGCTGCTTGCGCTGGTGGGGGATGAGGGAGAGGTGCGACAGGTTGACTGTGGGGACCACGAGGGGCACGAGGGGGTCGCGGCGGTAGTTCTTTGCGTTGGAGAAGACGGCGAGGTTGGCCTTGAGGAAGTCCATCTCTGTTGGAAGGTTGCACCCGGCTTGGATCAGCATGTGCTTGAGGCAGGGCGTAGGAATGCTGAGGCAGAGGGAAGTGGCGGGAGCAAGGTCTGCGTACCGACGTCTCCTGCTATGTTGGCGTCCAGGCCACTGAATACGATGTCACAGTCCTTGAACTCGCTCGACTTGCACTCCTTGACGACCAGATCGCCCACGTCCCCCATTGGGGTGGACTGCTTCCACTTGACTGCATCGCGGTACTTCTTGCCTGCGGACTGCGGAGATGCGCCGACGGCGACAAGCTTAAGGAAGGGGTGGTTTTGCAGGAGCAGGATGAATCGCTGTCCAACCGAGCCAGTTGCACCCAGTACACCTGATTTCAGGTCGAGTTAGCTGGTGATTGTTCTCTGGGAGTTGAGGTAGGGGTGATTCTGGGTCGGCCGAGAGGGACGAACCGCACTTCTTTTCCGGGAATTGTGTCGCCATGATCGATTGAAGTGCTCGAGTTGACCGGATATACTATATCCAAGAGAGCAACGACGTCTCAATTAGACAATTGGCTTGTGTTGAGAAGGATGTGAGGAGTGCGTGTGCGAATTTGAGATGTAGTCACCGTCGAGATCTTCCAACCAGCCTCTGATCAGTCACAGTCATACCACAACCATCAAAAAAGAACCCCGCTATCGGAGGGGCACAACTTTGGGCGGCGGATTCAAGCTGCTTGAGCTGTGTGGGGCATGCAGGCCGCCCTTGGCTGCAGGGATCCAGGCCGCCGCCCCCTTGACCAACCCATGCCACCCCTGCTCTGCGGCTCTAATCCGACGTCAGCACATGCTCGCAGTTGAGACTCGCGCCCAGTCTTGTACTACCTAGGTATTCACAACTTTATAAGATCTCTGTAAGTTGTGAACTTCAATCAAGGGGCAAAAGGTCCCGCCATTTGAGACCCACATCCTCTTACATGGCAAGTCTATGTCAAATTATGTTTTGATGGATGATTAAGCTGTTTTATTTATTCCCTTCTTTTTATTCTTTTTTCTCTCGCGCTCTTTTTGCATGGTTCAACATGTGCATCGTCCCTCTCAGCTGCCCGTGTCTTTTCTTCTGATACTTTTTCCTTTTGTTTCTTGACCACTTCATTTTTATCTCTCCCCCCCCCCCTTTCATTCTTCCAGGGGACAGCTCGCAATCGTTTCTGAGTCTCATTTTTAGGACTGGTTCACCCCAGCAAGTTGCTTATGGTCAATTTCAGTCCACAGCGGTCCGTACTGCGTGTTTTGCTCTGCCACAGAGCCCATGAGTGCTTTCTCTACTATCTGGCCATGTTGTGTGATACCGTTACTCGTCTGAACATATCATCCTATACAACCAGACAGGCCATTCCTTCAACGTAGGCTTTCGGCCTCTGCTGTTGTTCATCATACACTAGAAGTAACATCATGGCGGCTGGGGTCGGAACTCTTTAATTATCTTCCGCTATGTTCCGTTCTTCAAATGGGACATTGGAGACGAAATATTTGTTTAAAGAGCTGGTGGCAGCAAGAATGTTTCCTATAGGAAAAGAGAATACTGTCATACGCCCCGTGTATTGCTTATAGAGAGCAAAAGCCCTGCAAGACCATGTAAATGCAATTGCTCCTTGGTGTTAGTGGCCACAGAATGGTTGGGCCTCATTTGACGTTTCGATGAAACTGCCGTAGGTGTGCTTACAGGTCTCCACCCTCCACAAGATGATATGCACCTAGCTCAACCAATGAACTGATGTCACTGGAAATGGTCATCTGCATGTCCACTCAAAGATTTCAGAGGTTGAAGATCTTTGAATGGTGATAGCGAAGCGATGTAAGACGGCGCCCTGAGCCCTTGCCCTATAGCCATCGGAACCAAAGGTTAGAGTGCTCCAGAACGCTTCTAGAAAACCAGTGTAGTCTTATACAGCTGTGCCGTCACACTTGTGAGGCAAGAATGGCAAAATTTCAAACAATCAAGGAAAGGCTAAAGGGCAGTCTACCTTGAGAGAAAACATTTGATCGCTCAAGTTGAGATATGGGAGGTCTTCTCACAATCTGAATAATAGATTCACCTTCCCTTTTCCTAGAATATCACAGGTGAAGAGACAGGTCTGATTGGCGTCCAAGGTCGATCGCAAAGGAACTATCCTTGTGCAATATTCTACCGTGCATGGTATACGTTATACTCCTCCAATATTCATTACGTCTGTTTCAGCTTGGGTAAACGGGCCCGGATACTAAACCTCGTATTAGGTCGCCTACCAATCTCGACACCTAGGCACCGAATCATAACATACCTGCTCCAATATTGACGATTGATACTTATCTCGACTAGCCGGCAGCTGCACATGAGCTTTGGAAACATTTGAAGAGACTCTGTGCCCACCGCCGGGATCAGCACGTATATGAGAACGTGTGTTCTGGCACAGTGGGCCGTTGCCTATATAGCGGGAGCGAATCTAAGATGTACGACCATTCTTTTTCACGACCGGTCTTGCTGCTCACTGGTTCCGGCCAACCAGACACGTTGTGCTTCCGTGACTAGTAGCACAATTTTTGCCTGAATAAGCTACGACACACATACTGTTACGACCATCAAAATATATCGGCCCCAACTAAACTCATCCTCCGATCCATATGCAGATCTCCGTTTTCCAAATCCTACACTCAGAAGCCGATTTAAGGGCAGGAATTACCCACCCATGGGTACCCATGAGTACCCAAGCTCGGACCCCGAGTCCATAAACTCGATTTATATAATCACCAAGTCCTAAATACCCATAAGTAATAAGTATTTCTTTAAATAATTTATTAAGCATTAAATTATTTAGGTATTTAAATACAATAATATAATTTATTACCAAGTGGCTAATATTACTTTATAATTAAGTTTTATAACATTACTTAATTTTTATTAATTTTAATACTTATTTAATATTAAAAGATTAATTAAATTTAACATTAATTAATATTAATTACCTTTAATTCCTTATCTTTAATTAATTTCTTTAATTTAAAATAAGTAATATAAGTATAATATAATTAAAAGTTATTAAAGTTTATATAAAAAAGCTTTTTTTTAATATTACTTATATCTTAATTTTTTATATTAATTACATTTTAATTTACTTATTTAAATGTTTAATATATTAAAATTTAAAAAATATAATATATATTTTTTTATTTAAAGAAAATAAAATTCTTTTAATTATTTAAATAATTTAATAATTTAAAAAAAATAACATAAAATCTTTAAATACTTTTTAAATAATATAAATCTTTTATATTTTAAAATAAACTTTATATTATAAAATAAATTAATAATGCTTTTATAAAAATATATATAATAATTAATATAAATTTAATTTAATTAAAAAATAAATGCTTATTTAATATATAATTAAGTAAAATACTTAAGAATTTCCCTTATAACTTTTTAATATAAAAAATATAATTAACTTTTTATTAATATTAAGCTTAATGCTTTATATATATATAATTTAATTTAAAAATTAAGTTTAATTATTTTTATAATTATTAAAAAGTTTTTTATAAATATTTAAAAGTTGTTAAAAATGAATTTAAGTTATTTTAAAATATAATAATTAAATATAATATTATAAATAAAAATTTATATAATTTTAATAAAATTAACTTCATAATAAATATAAAAATATTAAATTAATTTAACTTAATAATAAAAAATAAATTATAATTACTAAATATATTAACGTAATAAATTAATAAATTTTATTATTTATAATTATTTAAAATATTTATTACTTTATAAATTAAGTTATAAAATTATAATTTTTAAAAAATTAAGTTATTAAATTTACTTTAAATAAATAAATAAATATAAAATTTAATTTAAAATAAATTTAATATTTTAATAAATATATTAAATAATAAATATAAAATATATATTAAATATTAATATAATATAATTATAAAAGTTATATATTAATTAAATTTAATTAATATTATAAAAATAATAAAATTATTTTTATTAATATATTACTATATTATATTTATCTTTAAAATATATATATAATAATTAAATTAATCTTTTTATTTAAGCTTTTATTAATTATATTATTAAGTTTAAATTTTTCTTTATATTTATAATAATTTATAATAAAATTAAAAGGTTAGTTTTATTAAAAACTTATTATAATGCTTATATAATACCTTAAAACATTAATTTAATAATGAAATTTATCTTAATGCAATAAATTTAACCTTATTATAATAATTATAAACTTTTATAATAATAATATATAGGTAATATTAATAATAATAAATAAAGGCAATATTAATTTAACTTAAAGTTATTATTATAAACATTATAATAAAAAATATATAATATTATTATAAATATATATTAAAAAATAAATAAAGTTAGCATAAAGCTTATAATTATTAATAATAATTAAAATAATATTTTTAATTAACTTATTATAAAAATCTTTAAAAAGGGAATTTATAATAATCTTATAAAAAATTAAGTAAAAACTCTTTATTATATTTTAATAATTATAAATAAATATTATAATAAGTAAATATAATATAATTATTATAAGCTTAGGTTTTAATTTAAGCCTTAAAGCTTAAGAGCTTATAAAGCGGGTTTAATATAAATGCCCTTTAAATATTAAAAAAACCCTTTATATATATATATATATATATATAATAATAATTAAGGGCCACCTTTAAGCTTTAATTACTTTTTAACTATTATAATTTATAATCTTTTTTAATACTTTTTTATAAATACCTTAAAGTTAACTTATAATATTAAATTATAATCTTTAAATCTTTTAAAGTATAAATAACTTTAAAATAGAAAATAATATGCTAGTTATAACAACTTAATTTTTGCTTTCCTCCCTTTAAATTAACTCTTAATAATTCTTTTTAATAAGGTTTTTTTAACTTTATTTTACATTTAACTTAAATATATTTTAATCTTAATTAATTATATATAATCTTATAATGTTATATAAAATAATTTATACATTAAAAGTATATTTTTATAGCTTTTTTTAACTTATACTTTATTTAATGCAAGCTGCTTTTACTTAAAAAGCTTTTTAATAATAATTAAGCTGCTTTTTAAGTTTAAAAGCTTATAATAAAATATAAATTAAAAGTTAATATAAACTTTATTAAAAGTTAATATAAGTAATAAATATTTATTTAAAGTAACTTTATATATTTAATATAAGTTTAAGGAATTTACTTATAATTTTAATTTAAAAGCTTTTTTTAATTATTTAAAGGTATATTATAATAATTTATATTAATATAAGAGTATATTAGCAGCTCTTAAGATTTTATAAATAAAGAATTAAAAAATTTTTATAACCTTTTATATTTACTTTAAATAATTACTTTTTTAAGTTAAAAGCTTTTTATAAATAAATAATATTAAAATTAATTACCTTTATGCTTACCTTTTTCTTTAAATTTAAG